GAATTCCACAACAGCCAGGACTATGTAGAAAGACCCTGTCTCAAAAACCAAAAGAAAAAAAAACAAGAAAGCAGTACAAAATTTTACTTTTAGATCCCAAAGCTTGGACTGGAGAGATGTCTCAATGGTTACCAGCATTTTCTGTTTTGCAGAAGACCTGGACTTGCTTCCAGCACCTATATGGTGACTCACAACTGTCTGTAACTTTAGTTCGAGGAAATCTGGTGCCCTCTTCTGGCCTCAGAAGGCACCAGGCATGCAGGTGGTGCACCAACATACATGCAGGCAAAATACTCATGCACAGAAAATAAAAAAAATATCTCTCTCTCTCTCTCTCTCTCTCTCTCTCTCTCTCTCTCTCTCTCTCTCTCTCTCTCTCTTTGCTTTTTAAAACAGGATTTGCCTGTGTAACAGTCTTGGATGTCCTAGAACTTGCTCTGTAGACCAGGCGGGCTTCAAACTCACAGAGATCTTCCTGCCTCTGCCTCCCCAAGTGCTGGATTAAAGATGTGCACCACCACCACCACCTAGCAAAAAAATAATTTTTTTAAAATTCCAATGTTCTAGAAATTTATAAAATAAAAATGGGAACCCCTCCATCTTCACAGGAGGCCTGGGACTGTCTCCTTTGTTCTCTGGACTCCTTTCTCCTATGGAAGCCTGATCCTGGATGTGGAACATGACAAGGCAGAGCCCAAGCCTTCCCCTTGTGCAGGAGCATCCCTGCTATCACAGCTCAGAAGCTAACATAAAAATTGCCAAGCTGGATATCCCATGTTCAAATATCAATTCTACCCCTTGTGGAACTAACTGCCTTTGCCTCCTGTCTTCATCATTGACGTCACAGTCTGTTATAAGAATTACATAATACAGCCAGGGCGTTGGTGGCACACACCTTTAAACCCAGCACTCAGGAGGCAGAGGCAGGCAGATCTCTGTGAGTTCGAGGCCAGCCTAGTCTCCAGAGCGAGTGCCAGGATAGGCTCCAAAGCTACACAGAGAAACCCTGTCTCAAAAAACCAAAATAAAAAAATTACATAATACATTTAGTATATACTATACTCCATTTAGTATAGATAATTGTCTTTCAAAAGCACCTCACATTAGTGACTAATGAGCATTAGTTTTATCACCATAAGATAGTTCCACAGCCCTTGCTTCTGGACATTTCTTACTGGCCATCATGGAAGGGTGGTTAGCTTTCTCTTTTAATCCATTTTCCCTCCTTCAACCCCTTCCCTCTACTCTCCCAGGGAATTCAGGAAACAGTTATTTCAAATCTCTTTCCTGCCATTTTCCAGGGTCTCCTGTTCAGCGCCCAGCATGCACTATTTAACAGTGCCCTCTGACTGATGGATGCCAAGGTCCAGCTGTCCCAAGAGACTCTTCACTGCATTGGACTGTCACATACAAATACACACAGTGTTCGTCAGCTTCCCGTCACCAGTACAAACACCCAAGAGAAATAAGCCTAGCAAGGAAAAAAAAAAAAAAAAAAAAAAAAAAAAAAAAAAAAAAAACAGATTCATTCTGGTTAAGGGTCTCAGAGGTTCCCACACCAGTTAGCCTGCTGCTTCTGGCCCTGTGGTGGGGTGGTGCATCTTAATGAGAGTGTGTGTTTGAAGGAAGTTGCTTACCTTGTGTTGGCAGGGAAGCAAAGAAGGAGAGCAGAAGGGGCCAGGTACTTACGTCCCTTTCAAGACCTCCAGTGACTCTCCGCCTAAGTCCCAGCCCCTAAAGACTCCACCACCCCCAATAGTGTCATGGCCTAGTAGTCAAATCTCACTAGATGGTCGTTTGAGGAACATCTCTAATCCAAACTGCAGCAATAGAGTTGTGTAGTTGATAACTGTCAACATATTTTTAGCTTAAAATCTTTGGGATATATTTTCATAAATAGAAACTTAACTTGAGCCAGGCGGTGGTGGCTTTTGTCCCAGCAGTTGGGAGGCAGAGGCAGGCAGATCTCTGTGAGTTCGAGGCCAGCCTGGTCTACAGATTGAGTTCCAGGACAGGCTCCAAGGCTACACAGAAAAACCCTTTCATAAAAAGCAAAAAAATATTTAATTTGAGTATTGTGATATATTCTTCTAATCCCAGTCTTTAGGGCTGAGTGTCAGGAATTCAAGGCTAACCTGGACTGCGTAGCCATACCATTACACGATTTCAAAATGTAATAATAGGGCTGGGAGTGTGGCTCAGTTGGCTGAGTGATTGCCTGGAATACACAGGGCTCTGACTTCAGTGTCCAGCACTGGATGGCTCAAATCTGTAATCCCAGGATTTGGAAGGTGTGGACAGGCAGATCAGAAAGTCTGAGTCATTATCAGCTATATGGTAAGCTCAAGGCCTGCCTGGGCTACAGAAGACTCTCATATTCTCTCTCTCTCTCTCTCTCTCTCTCTCTCTCTCTCTCACACACACACACACACAATAAATTAATTAATTAATTAATTAATTAATTAATTAATTAATTAATTAATTAATTAATTAATTAATTAATTAATTAATTAATTAATAAAACTAACCAGAGAGTCAGTGGTATTGGTGCATACTTGCAATTCTAGCACTTGGCACATGAAGCCAGAAGGAGCTGGTCATTCAAGGTCATGTTTGACTACATATCACATTTGCAACCAGCCTGGGATACATAAGACTCTGTTTCAAAAAACCAAAAACAAAAGCTTCCTCGAAGGGAATTCCCCAGCCACAGAGAGGAACATTAAGAAATTGGGTAGCTGTTGTAGGACACCCATTCAGCCTGATCTAACAAAACACCATAGATAAGAAGGCACATAAGAACACAAGTTTCACAATAATAATAAGCAAATAAAGGCAGTTTTCAATTTTTTTCCTTAAACCCACCCATTTATCTCCCATAGTCCTAGAAATTGGGTACTCCAAAATACAGGTTCCTGCAATCAGGTGTCTGGTGAGGGCCACCTCCTGGCTCATAGATGGCGCTGTCTAGCCAAGTCTGGCATTTTGAAGGAAGGAGGACTCTCCATGGGGCCCCAGTCATAAGTAAGAATTTCAATCCTATTTTGTTGTTGTTTTTCTTTATTTGCTTTTTGAGACAGGGTTTCCTTTATGTAGCCCTGGCTGTCCTGGAACTTGCCCTGTAGACCAGGCCGGCCTTGACCTCATAGAGATCCACCTACCTCTACTGGGATTACAGACATGCACCACTGCTCAGCTCTCTTATTTTTTTCTAAGATGGATTATATTTTGTTGAAAATTTCTAAAAACTATGGGAAAAATATATTAATGTATTCTAATCTAGCTATCCAAAATTCGATTTATATTTTTAAGTTATTATATCTAATCTAATACCCGAGGTTTCTAAAGCACATGGGAATAACTGAAACTCATTTGTTCTGGTTCCTTTTAGTGTCTTGGCGCTTTGAGAAAGCCTCTCATACAGGTCAGCAAGCTTCCTGGTGCCAGTTATCTTGGCTAAATGTGCTCACTTGTGTCTTCTCCACTAATGGTCATAGGTGAAAGCAGCTGTGACAGTTTGACCTGAGTATCAGGTTAGCAGGGACCTGGGAAACTTGAAGGGTCTGCCTGTGCCTGGGTTTGGTGGCCTGGATCTGGATGCTGGGAGGTGAGCAGGAGAAGAGAGCATTCCCTGGATGTCCTCTACACTGCAGCACAGCACACACCACTTTGCTGTGTGTTTACATTGCATGTGAGGTTGTATTAACTGCTGGGCCCCATGCACCTTCAGACTTTCTGAACAACTCTGGCCCAAGCATCCTCATTTCTCCTTTCCAAAAAAAGATTTTGTTATCTGCCCCCAAATCACCCAGCAGGCACCTGGGAAGCCAGGATTCAAACCCAGGCCTGGGTTTATGACACACTGAAGAAGCCTAGGGAGGGAGGAGGAGAGGGAAGGAGGAAGGGAGGAAAGGGAGGGAAGGAGGGAAGGAGGGAGGGAGGGAGGGAAAGAAGAGTTCAGGGCAGCTAGGGCTACCCACAGCATGTCCCAGCACATTCCAGAACATCCCAGGGGGACTTTCCCCATTCTTCGGAGGAGAGGTGTGACTTGCAGACCTGAGTCAGAGGCTACAGCTAGTATGTGAAATACTTTGGGAGGAAGCCCTGGACTAGCTCTACTCTAAGACTCCTTCCTTGGGTCTCCAAGGGCAGGGGAGAATCCATTCCATAGACTGCAGCTGTCTATGGCTGGCTGTGCTCCTCTGAGCTCTCCATCTCTGGCCAGCAGCTGCAAAGCTCTGTAACAGATAGGCAGGCCATCCATCTGGAGAGTCTTCCAGTGCCTGTCCCAGACTCGCTTACATCCTGTGGTGTCTGTTACACAGCTCTGGCATCAACAGGTTTAGCTAATAGGCGGAGAAATTTCCCAAGCAAGCATGAACACTCTGCAATGAGATAGAGTAGGGTGGCCTACTTTTATATAAATAAGTTCAAAGACACAAGCACGTACAAGAAGGGAGTTGCTATGAGGTGAACTCTTCAAAGGCAGGGGCTGTCTTACTGCCCTCCAGCTATCCCTGTTAACATGAAACCCAGTCTCCGGGCACACAATGCCACAAAAGCTGTTTTGACTTGTATGGTGCTCGACCTTGACTAGAAACTTGAGGGTGTTTGTTAACTGCTTGGTGGCTAAATGGCTGTAAGTGGGGCGTGTGTTTTGTTTTCTGATAGAGTAACAGTCTATTCTGTTAGTCACACAACCCCTGAGCCTCCAGCAGGTTCATTGCCTCCCGATGTCACCCAGTCTCTACCAGATGCTGCTTAGCTTTGCCAATCATTGTTCTCCTCCCCGCCCCCAGGCCAGCCCCCAAGGAATCACATGGCAACCCAACGAGGCTAATTTCTCAGTAGCTTTATTGAGTAGCGAGATGAGGCATCATTTTCTGCAGGACATGTGTCCTCAAGCATGTACAAGGACTGCTTAGGGACAGATTGACAGACAGGTGGTGGGGCAGGGCAGGTGTCTGCTGCTCTGATGGGCTGAGGGCACCAGGGACAGCTCAGCTCTCCACGGGGTTGGGGGGGTTGGGCTGCACCTGCTCCTGGACTTGCTCGGGGAGGGGGAGGGCCAGGGGCTGGTCTGGGCTCTCCTTCTTCCCCAGGGTGCCCATAAAGGAGCTGACTTTTTCCCTCAGGCTCTTCTCCAGGAAGCTCAAGTGGCCTTGCACGTCCCCCGAATTGGAGCCCAGCTGCTGCCTGAACTGTTCCATCTGCTGCACCAGAGCCTTGTTGAACATCTCCCCCAAGGGCTCCACGGTGCGTCGGAACTCCTCCACCTGCTGGTCCAGCTGGCTGTTCAGGTCTTCCAGAGACTTCTGCAGTCCCTCGGTGTTGCCCCTCAGCTTGCTGTGCACGTCTTCCACCAGCGGTGCCAGTTTCTTCTGCAGCTGGTCGACGTTGGCAGAGACCTTGGTCTGAAGCTCCTCGGCGTTCTTCTTCATCTGGAAGGCCAGCCCCTCCAGCTGGTGGTTGAGTTTCTCCTGCACACCTTCCGCCAGGGGGGCCAGGCTTCTGCGCAGATCTTCCAGGTTCTGGTCGATTGTGGCCTTCAGCTCGCTGGCACGGGGGGTCAGGCGCCCCTTGAGCTCTTCCACATTCTGGTTAAACTTGTCCTTGAACTCGTTGGCATAGGGCATCATTGAGGCCTGCAGGTTGTCCATGTTCTCCTGTACGGTGGTCTGCATGCGCTGCATGTAGGGCGTCAGCTGGCGCTTCAGTTCCTGGGCCTGTGTGTTGACCTTGGTTTGCAGCCCCTCAGCATAGGGTTTCAGGTGCTGCTGCAACTTCTGCATGTTGTCCCCGATTGTCTGGCTCACTGTGTTGGCGTGGGGCATCATGCGGGCGCGTAGGTCCTCTAGCTCCTTTTGGATCTCTTCCTTTACCCTTACTGCATCCTTGGTCAGGCGCTCGTTCATTTCTATGGCAAAGGGCAGCAGCTTCTTCTGCAGGTCTTCTGCATATGTATTCATGCCCCCAAGTTTGTCCTGGAAGAGGGTGCTTTTGGGAAAGGGTGGGGAGAATCGCCATTACACTCGGCATTAGAGACGCTTGTAGCACACTCAGCTTTATGAACCTGCCTAGGCCAGGAGTGTCTCCATGGGAACCGAGACCTCCATCTTGTCCCTGTGGCCCTCTCTGGGGAGGGTCATGCTTTCAGGAAATCTACTAGGATTTGTGTTACTTTGGGTTTTTATCTGCAAGGTTCCTGCTGAGCCTCAGCATCCTTATCTACCCATCATGTGACTCTTTTCCTTGTGGCTAAAGAATGGGACTGGACTTTAGCTCTCTCCCCTCCCCAAGCTCAGGGTCACGTTGTGCAACCGTATGTCTTTCAGTGGCGCAGGGTCTGAGGTTCTTGCATGTGCTCGGAGGATCCCCAGACATCTCAACATCCCTTCCTCTGATTGCACAGGCACCTGTCTTTCTGGAAACCCCACCTCATGGGACATGTCTTCTTTCTCTTTCTACCACAAACTTGTAATGGGATTTGGCTATTTACCAAACTCTACACGAAAATAGGGAGGGAGTATAGGGATGGATCCCTGGGTCCAACTTCCCTGTTTATAGGAAGGGTCTAGGTCCAAAGAAGCCAGACTCCCCTACTGAGGAAGGAAGGATCCCAAGTGCTGGTGTCCCATCTCTAAAGTCAGCTTTGGCCTTTAGGAAAGCCTAGCTCTGCAGACAGAGCCCACTTACTTGAGCTGCTGGGTAATGTCTGACTTCTGGACTTGTTCCATAGCCTCCTTGGCATTGTCGCTTAGCTGAGTGAATAATTGCCACATCACAGTGGAAACCTGGTCCGCATCGACCTCAGCCCGGGTGCCTGGGCAGAGAACAGCAAACAAGTCGTGAACATGCACCTCTCTCCCGGCCTCTCAGCCTCAGCTCTGAGCCTGATGATGCTGGAGTTGGGATAGTGCAACCCATTTCTCCATCTCTGGGATAGCTCAGGGAGCACAGGTGCCAACAAAGGCAAACCCAAGGCCATCCTGAGATGCCCACTAGTTCTAGAGCCAGCCTTCCATGCTGCCTTTCATATGCAGCAACAGCTGGAGAGCTGTGTCTACTTACCGGTGATAGCCACCAGGGCCAGGGTCACCACCACAGCCTTCAGGAACATCCTGGGCTCCTCACTGGGCTGCGACAGTCTCTGCTGCACGGGATGCTTCCTGGAGTGAGAAGAAACAGTTCACCTGTGTCGCCGTAGAACTGACTGCAGACAGAGCCTGCCCCACATTTAAAGCCCCTCCAGCCCTCTCTCCCCGCCTCCTCCCCAGTGACTCCACGTTGGAAGGTGACACACTCCTAGGAGGCCTCTTGGACTTTGGTGACCCTAAGACAACGTGGAAGCTGACGGCACACAGGCAGCAGAGGGAAGCAGCCTTGTTGGTCTGGCCCCACCCTGTACAGGAGGCTGGGATGGGTAGCCGGGAGCTTCAGGAGGAACCAGCCTGGGAGTCAAGGGAAATCCCTGAGAAGGACTAAGGCCCCAGGGTTCTGTTGGCAGCCCTGGGTTTGTGCCAGGCTGGAGGAATAAGCTCTAGGTCTCCTCTTTCTACCTCAGTGAGACAGCCCCATCTCTGACAGCTGTCACCAACCCAAACTCTATCTCAGAATGTCAGCTACAGACATGGCACCAGGCCCATTCAGGGCTGCATGAAGCAGTGAGCTGCAAATTTAGTTGTCTGTGACGTCCCTTGGGCAGGGAAGGATCAGAACCCAGGATTGAAGAGGTTAATCCTAAGTGTGCTTTATGACTCCTGACTGTCAAGCTGAGTTGCCTCAGTCTAGTTATCTGAAGTACCAAGCCTCAGTTTCTCCTTTGTATAATTTGTTACATTAAATTATACAGTACTTGTTAAATGGGCAGGGTGCTTAGCCCATAAAGTGCTGAAATAGCAACGAGGACTTTACCCGTGGATCAGAGCTAGAAAGCTAGGAGAGAACTTGACCCTCTCTAGAGAATGGCAGGGGGAGGTCCAGCCTTTTCCTCAGAGGGTCACCGAGTGGGCTAGAGGCACCACTGAGAGATTGAGACTGGCTAAGGCTTGATTGTTATCCCACTGTCCCCAACCACAGGCACGAGCAATGCAGAATGGCCATCCTCTCTCCAACAGAAGGTGACAGGCACTGCTGTGGAAAGTGAGTTTTTGATCTCTTACTGAGACTCCAAATGTGTCCACGCATTCAATTGCAGAAGACATCCAGAGAAAAGGTGTGGGGCCTCTGTGGACCACACCAGGGATTGTATGATGACGCCCATCATATTGTCCTATTAGCTGCCATCCACAAGGTATTTGTGAAATGGGAGCCATCAGAATAAACCACAATTGTGCAAGGTCTGATTTGCTATGTTGCCATCCTTTTTTATTTTTATTTTTATTTTTTTTTGAAACAGGTTTTCACTGTGAATTCAACACTATATAGATAGAGACCATGTTGTATTCTTGTCTTAGTTTTCAAGACAGGGCTTGTTTGTTTGTTTGTTTTTATATGGCCCTGGCTGTCCTGGAACTCACTTTGTAGATTAGGCTAGCCTTGAACTCACAGAGATCTGCCTGCCTCTGCCTCCCAAGAACTGGAATGAAGGCGTGCACCACCACTGTCCAGTCACCATCCATTTTTAAAACTGTGTCCAGATTGGCTTGTCTCATGGGATTAAATACCTGCTAATTCCCCTCTATACTGCAGTAGTCCCCATATGGTGTCCTCAAGTAGCCAGGAGTGACACTTTCTAAAAATTAACTTATTTTTTTACTAATATTTGGTGAGGTAGGTATGCGTGCATCACAACACAGGTGTGGAGGAGAGAGGACAACTTGAGGAAGCCTATTCTCTCCTCCCACCATGTGGATTCCAGGGAATTACCTTGATGTCATCAGGCTTCGTGACTTTACCCATTGAGTCATCTTGTTGGCCTCTCAGTGTTTTCTGAGTTCAGGCTCCGCAGTCTGACTCTCTAGGTTTGAGTCTGAATTCTATCCAGTAAGGAATGCGTGGCCTTGGATGAGTCTCATGACCTCTCTGAGTCTCAGTTGTGAAGATTCTGTGAGATAATCTAGCACACAGTAGGTGCTCATTAATATTAGCCATGTTTTGCCTCTAAAAGCTTATCTCTCTGTACCATTGACTCATTGGTCCCCATCTTGCTCTGCCAAATCAGGCCTGGTCCAGCCTGTGCTGGGCTCAAAGATCAGAACTGACGGGGGATGAGTCACATGGGATACCTCAGCTGCAGCTCCACCTCCTGGACCTGCAGTCTGAGTACCAGGTGCCACAAGCGTGGGACAAGTCCAGAGGTAGTTGCCCGTTTGTACCCTCTCTGAGAAGACCTATGTTACCTAAGCCTGTTCAAGAGTGGCTGCCAGTGATTGATTGACAGATATGCATAGATATCTAAGTTGTCCGTGGACACAGAACTTGGCTCTGAGCTAAGAGACTGGGACAGCGTGCATACATGTGTGCCCATACATGAATGCACCGGCCCCAGCACGGAGGGTGTACTGCCTCCTGGCATGCCACAAATGAGCATACTGAGTTCTCCAACACTGGGGCCTGTGTCATATGCATCTGCAAGCAATCTGCATAGGTAGTGGGGGCAAAGTGATAACCCTGTGTCTCAGCTGTTGGTGAAGAGACTGCCTTATAGCCAGCGTCAACAGTTGGTGTACATTGGACACAGAGGGTCAAGCGGTGTTGGCACTCACACCACTGTCCTATCCTCAGTCTCCGTGCTTGTGTTCATCCAGAGCTCATGGCTAGTGAGGCTGACAATTATACACCATCTATAGCCACCCTTAATATCTGCCCATACAGGATCAGAGCAGAGCCCTGGGACTATCATGCACTCAACAGAAGGAGAATGGCAGCCACTCTTGAGGGTCATCCTCAGCCTAAGCTTTGAAGACTTCTTCCCCACTGTGATGGTTAATTTTAACTGTCAATCTGACAGACCCTTGAATCACCTGGGTGGGGGTGGGATGGAGGGGTGTCATTGTGTGAAGGGTGCTGGACTATACAGAATGGAGATGGTGAGCTGGGCTGAGCTGAGAACTAGTATTTCATGGCTCTTGCCTTTTAATTTTAAATGTGATGTGACCAACTGCTTTGGACTCCTGCCACCAAGGCTTCCCCAGGGTAATCCCTCAATATGTGTTTGTCAGGATATTGTATTATAGCAACAGGAAAAGAAACTAAGATACCCACCCACTGCTGGTTCTTCCCTGGGCCTGGGTCTGTAAGTCAAGAACAGTCCTCTCCCCAGAAAGCCACCAAGAGGCCTCCTGAGGCCCAAGCTAGATTGCTGAGAGGGCACAAGTACTTTGGAAGGAGTTAATTCCCAGGCCCCAGGTCCCAAGGCATCCTGCAGGCCATCTCTGTAGGGTCCACACACCTAAGTTCTCTGTGCAGCTCAGTATCACATGGCTCGGGCTTTCTGCCAGCACCTTTTGACTTTCCATGATTCAGTGGCCATGTTCTATAGACGGACACTGGCAGGCTTCCCAGACCCTCCCTACTGGTGGAAAAGGACCCAGTTAACCTGTCACAGCATTCTCAGGGCCAAGGACCAGCTACCACACCCCAGGTTGGGATCTGATTCCCATTGTGCCCTTTGCCTTGGGGCAAGAAACAAGATGAGGAAGGGCAGAACAGCTCCTGCCACCACACAGTGCCCAATCCTGGTACCTCTCCTCACCTTCCTTCCCTCCCAGCTGTCACCAAGGGCTTTTCTCAGAGGAGATGAGGAAGGGCAGAACAGCTCCTGCCACCACACAGTGCCCAATCCTGATACCTCTCCTCACCTTCCTTCCCTCCCAGCTGTCACAAGGGCTTTTCTCAGAGAAAGTTGAGGTAGAGATGGCTGCTGAGGACCAGCTCAGGTGCTGGGAGCCAGCTTTTCCAAAGCTGGGTGGTATGTACTGAATAGGCCTCTACCTGACTGGGCCTTTGATATCTAGCCATAAAATGGAGTTAGCAATGTTAACGTCACAGGATTTGGACAACTTATGTTTTAACAGAAAACAAACTATTTTTTTGTTTTGTTTTGAGACAGGGTCAGAGTATGTAGTCCAGGTTGATTCCAACACATGATCACCCTACCTGTCTCCTGAGCACTGGACTCATAAGTAAACACTATCCCAGCCACCTCAGAAAACAGTCAAAAGAATGAATTTCTGATAGATGATGAGTTTCAAGTCTCAGGCAAAGATAAGGATTAAGAATTCAGAGGGCAAAGCCAGGCTCCTTCCTCAGGCCACTCTTTCATACAGACAGGACACTGCCTGCTAAAAGCCCCATTTCTGCATAGGTACCTCTTCCTGTCTCTGGCTGGGCTGTCCGTGTGCAGGAGATAGGTAGATTGTGAGTCAGTCCTTATTTCCTGAGCCAGCTGCCATATCTCTCTCCACACTGGGAAATCAGTATTCTGTCCCCATTAACAGGGTAAACAGAGGCTCCAAGAGGTGATACATTTCTGAGCAGACCATGTGAGTCAGTGTGTGTGTGTGTGTGTGTGTGTGTGTGTGTGTACTGGTGTGTGTACTTGTGTGTGTACATGTATGATGTGCATGCCTGAGGAAGCCAGATGTCAGTCTCAGGCATTCTTCAAGAGCTATTCACCTTGCTTTATGAGACCAGGTCTCTCATTGCCATCTGGGACCCACTGAAGAGCCTAAGCTGGCTGGCCATCAGCTCCAGGTAGCTGGCTACCTGTCTGCCACCTACCTCCCTGCCCCCAGCGCTGGGATTGCAAGTGGATACTACTGCACCTGTGCTATTAAGGTCTTTGCACTTGCAAGATGAGCATTTTTCCCAGATGGCCTATTTCCCCAGTCCCAAAGGTATCATTTAAACCTAGGATTTCTTAACTCCAAAGTCTTTGTGTCCAAAAGACAATGTCCTCTAGTGCTGCTTGTCTGGGCTGTGGCTCTAAGTACTAGCTCAGGAGACATCTTAGTTTCAAGAAATTTTAAGTCCCTTCTGGGAAGCTGTCTGCCCCACAGTACCTCCTTCACCTTCTTTGTGAATGGCCTTTCTATGCTTGCTGCTCCCAGGTACTCAAGCCATAGGTTGTGTTGGGGTTATATATCATCCAGCCATGAGCCCTGTTCCCATCTCAGGATACTATCAATGGGTCCAGAGGGCAAGACAGGCACATGGAGGAGGGAGGGGCAAAGGCCTTGGGCTTAGCCTGATCTTTGTCCGTCTCTCACCAACACCTGCCCCGGCACAGCAGAGGAGACTGCTGGGAACACAGTGGTGGGTGGTTGCCTGAGGTGGAGGTCTAGTGGGGCCATGTGACCTTCACTCTGCCACCTCCCACCCCTCTTCTGCCACTACTCATCTATGGCTGCACCAGATTCCCCATTCCATTCTACACTTTCAAGAGGCCTCAGTGAAGAAGCTTGTCACTGGCTCCAGGCTATTGTCTGATGGGCTTTGCGGGGGGTGGAGGTGGTTGGGGTTGGGGGTTCTGGAAGGTCAGTATAAAGGGCTAAAACATGTCTTAGGCCTGAGGCTGGTCCCCTGAGCCTTTCCCCATCTTACCAGCCCCATCTAGAAAAGCCAATAGCTGAGCCCTTGGCTGTGTAGCTGGAGGTGAATAGCACAAGCAATCTCAGAGGGATTTCTCAATTCCTCTGGCAGCTGGCTGCACGGCCTCCCTGCATCAGGCTGTCGTCTGAACTGTTCAGCAGGTGACCTTTGCCCAGCTCACTGGGCCTTCTGTGCCCGCTGTCCCATCCTGGGGCCCATATAAAACAGGTCAGGGTCCTCCGGCCTGCCTGCTCAGTTTATCCCTAGAAGCAGCTAGCTACTCCAGGTAATGCCCCTGGGGTGGATAGAAAGGGAGGGAGGGGACAGAGGAAACCTTTGGCACCCAGCTAGCTAGCCTATGGAAGCCTTGGGATCCATGAATAGCCTCCAACCTTGGGTTCCTGGTGGGTGAGGGAAGGCTAAAAGCTGAGGAAGGGGAGGCCATTGGGCCAAAATCCCTGCACTGGGTAGTGGCAGAGTTGACAGGAATGGGTCACATGCTGTCTCTTGATCAGCATGCTTAGAGCTATTGGAAATCTTTGATATTCATGCCTACTTTAGACAGAAACAATGAGGTCTAGAGCAGAACAGAAACCTGATGTCATTGGGGGCCGAGTATGGGTAGGTGTCCCATTCTGTGAAGGGTTTCTACACTCCACCTTCCACCCTGCCTTGGGACCTGGATCTCCTATAGTTCCCTGACTGAGAGCTAATATCGGTAGAGAGAGGCTTGGGATTCATCCAAGAGTCCATGGCATTCTCCAGGGAAGGACCTCCATATGGCGGATCCTCCCACAGTATCCCCTCACTCACAAGACAATTTCCTTCAGGTGCATTGGTGACATGCAGCCCCGGATGCTCCTCATTGTTGCCCTCTTGGCACTGCTGGCATCTGCCCGTGAGTTTTGGTGGGGGTTGGGGGGTGGGCCTGGAGTTTCTGTGGGAGCTGATCTGGACCCTGGTAAGTGGTGGCTGGGTAAGAGCTGAGGGCTAGCATGGCTCAACTCTGCTCTTTTGCAGGAGCTAAAGAGGCAGAGGGGTCCTTGCTGTTGGGCTCCGTGCAGGGCTACATGGAGCATGCCGCCAAGAAGGTTCAGGATGCACTAACCAGTGTGCAGGAGTCTGAGATGGCTGTGCAGGCCAGGTATGCCCACTGGCCCTTTTTTCCTGTTCCCTCTCCTCTTACCCCTGCCCTGGTCCTGAAACTCCCACACAGGGACTGCGGCTCCCCAAGTTTACTCAGGGTCTAGGCCTGTCTAAGCCTCTGCTCCCTTATGGGGCCTTTTCTGGGTACTGTGGCTGAGGTGAGAAGCAGAGCAAGCAGTCTTTTTCTGTCTCCTCCACTTCTCCTCAGAGCAGCCTGAGGTACAAAGAGCACTTGCTGCAAGTCTTCTTCTCTATTCAGGGGCCTAAAGGCTTCCTTGGGAGGCCTACCTGCTCTGGTTTCAGTCTGTGTTTCAGGGCTCTGCCCCAGGCCCAATCTGAGTTAGACATCTGCCCACTATGGGCTGTTACCCCTGCCCCCGGCCAATGGCTTTGGTTGGCATTTGATATTGACTTATGTAGCAAAAGATGTTGACAAATGTTCTTTGTCCTCAGGACAGGCTGTGGAGAGGGTATTATTTCTCCAACTTTGCAGATGAGAACACTGGCTCAGAGAAGTTAGGCGACCTGGCCTAGGTCATGTAGCTCATGAGTTCTCCAATAATTTTTCCAATGAGAGGCTGCCCCCCTCTCTCCCACACATGCAGAGCCACCAAATGGGACACCTCCAGGACACTATTTGTATGGACTACAAAGGCAGGCCTACCTTAAGCAACAACCTCCCCTTCCCCAGTGCTCAGTGCTTCAAGCCTGAAAGAGGGTTTATTGGGGGGGGGGTAGCCATGAAGGTCTGTCTGATCCAACCTGGATGAAGGTGGTGTTTCTTCAGCTTCCCCTGTACCTCCTTTGCCATCTCATCTGCCCAGGTAGCTGCAGGGTGAGGGTAGTGCTAGGTGAGGTGGTGCTGATGGCTTAGAGAGTTAGTAGGGCCCTGGGTGCAGGCTGTGGGTCTGACTGCCTTCAGGGGAACTTTTCACACACACTTCTATGGATGCCTCTTATTGCTTTAACCTCCAGGGGCTGGATGGACGGTGGCCTCAGCTCCCTGAAAGGTTACTGGAGCACGTTTACTGACAAGTTCTCCAGCCTCTGGGATTCTTCCTCGGAGGCCCCACCAACTCCAGCTACTGAGCCTTGAGACCTCTATGTTCCAAATGTGCATGTGCATCCATCCTGCTGGCCTCCGGGCCCGTGGGTGGCCCCTGAAGGCTGTTTGAAAGGGAAAGCATTCTCATGTTTTCACCCCTCCCCAGATGTCACCTAAACAAGCTGCACCTAATAAAGCTGGATGAGAAGATGCCATGAGTGGGGTGTACCATGTACCATGATGTCTGGGCATGGGGATGAGTGGACCTGGGGCTGTACCTCCTCCACCTCTTTAGTTGTCTCTGGGACATTTCTTTCTTTGTAAGTAGAACTAGCTCCTGCTTGCCTTGATGCACTTATGTAAAAGATCAAATCAGGTATCGGTCTTGCAATTACAGTCTGTGATTAACTGTCAAGTGTAGGACAATGTGGACAATGAGTGTGGATTCTGACCAGGTAGCACTTTTATATCATCTTCAGTGTTGTGGTCAGATGTGATCACAAAACCTGTGCAGCTGGTTTGCATGGTCCAGGCTGCCTGGTCTCTTTAAACATAACGAAAGGAAGGAGGCAAGTTGGGAGTTGGTTGGCTAAGTCTTGACCTCACTGCATCATAGCTGCCTCCATTTCTTATGTATAAAGTGGGTACAGTCTGCTCTTCCACAGCAAAAAAAAAATGGGTATTGTCTGTCCTTCCACAACAGGTTTGCTGTGACCATGAAATGGTTGTATTCAAAAGCATGTGACAGGCATCGGCGCAGCCCAGGAGACTGGTGATCAGTCCTCATTGTGATAGCTAAACTGGCTGACCTCGTAGATGGAAATGGAGACCCAATGTCCTCAGAGTCCCAACAGGGTTGTTTACTATGTCCCTACCATCCAGAAGCACTTACTTCCAGAGAGATCCGGGGTCACAAGACAGGTCTCCCGCACTATAGAATAAAAGACCAATGTTGAGAGGGATGATAGGATTTACCCTGGGTCAAAAGCAAGCACACTTCAGGGCCAGCTGTCCATTTTCTACTTTGTTGTCACCGGGAGAGCCTCTGCCAGGTACTAGAGGCTCTTTTCTGGACAACATTGGTGCAAACAGGCACCTAGACTGTGTTCTCTCGGAAATCCATCAGGGGCTTCTCTTCCTGTCCACCCAGAGCCTGCAGTGTTAGTGTCCGATCTGGAAACCTTCCCACCCAAACCTGGCTTGATACCTGTCATAGCTCTGTGTGATTAGGGATTTAAAAGCCCATCCCCTCATCCTGGGGCTCATGGAGATTCACTGGGGATGCAAAAGGAGCCTTGGGAGGAGGGAGAAGGACTTTCTGGATGGGTGAAGACCACACGCATATTAACATGAGCATGAAGAAGGGGCATCTGAGTGAGAGATAGATGATTGGTGTGCATACACCCTCACCCGTCTGAACATGAGTGATTGGTTACATTAAAAAAAAAAAAACATTGAAGTAATTATGTGTGCCCACGGCCCGCTGGTCTAAACATCTGGGGCTTGGTATGCGGCTCAATTGGTAGAATGCTTGCCTGGCATGCACAAAGCTCTGGGTTTACACCCCAGCACTGAATGAATTTGCTGCAGTGGGACATCCCTGTAACTTGGGAGATGGAGGCAGGAAGAGGAAGATGAGAAGTTAAAGATCATCTGGCTGCAAAATGAGTTTGAGGCCACCCTGGGCTATCAGAGACACTGTCTCAAAATAAAATGAATAAGTAAATAAATGAGGTCTGGCAAGATGGCTCAGGTGGTAGAGGCATTTGCTACACTAATCCTGGTGGCCTGAGTTTGGTCTTTGGGACTTCACATGGAGAAAGAGAACTGACTCCTGCAAGTTGTCCTCTGATCTCTACATGTGTTCTGTGGCACACGAAAATCCACACATATTTAAAATAAATGTACTAAAATTTTAAATTACATGTGTGTGTGTGTGTGTGTGTGTGTGTGTGTGTGTGTGTGTGTGTAGGTGGGGCTCCCAAGTACTGAATTCAGGTCCTTTGGTGGTAATAAAAGTTTTGTTTTGTATTTCAAGACAAGGTTTCTCTGTGTTGCCCTGGCTGTCCTGGCTCTGTAGACCAGACTGGTCTCAAACTCACAGAGATCCACCTGCCTCTGCCTTCCCGAGTGCTAGGACTAAATTTGCATGACACCAGCGCTGGTATTTTTTTTTTTTTTTAAAAGAACAACACATCCTGTCCCACCTTCCCTTCACTAACTTCACATCAGCTTCCCAGGCTAACATAGACCTAATGGCCATCATTCGTGATTTGGAGATGGATAGGAAGGCCTCTCTAATAAATGTGGAAATCAGCATCACAAAGTGTTTTTTGCCCAACTGGCAGGTAGACTGACTACAGCCACTGTGACAGCTGTCTTTCACAGTAGGCCAGTTTTTGGGTGGGGAGATGACTTCGTGGGAATCTTGCCGAGAGAAAAAGAGAATTGTTTGCTGAGGGGTTTGGGGTTTGTGAAAGAGAGAATGTTAAGCTCCAGGCATTTTATTAGCACAATTAGGCCAACAATTCGAGTCTCTGAATCCTTGAGGGATCCTGGCTCTAGAGAGTGGAAGATGCTTGCAACCTCTGCCCAGGTGAACCCCACCTGGAAACACTTCAGGCACAGGAAACCTGTCCTCTTAAAGGCAGTTCTTTTCCCAGCCACTCCCAATCTGGGCTACAGAACTAGTGGTTTGAGCCTCTGTGGAGTACTTTTCAAGGGGCTCCCTGTTGCTTTGCCTGGCCATCTATTTCCCTCTGAGCCTTCTTAGGACAGGGATTCTGTCTCACACTCCTAACCAGCCATGCACCAGGCTTGAGTGAGCTTGGAGAGCTGAGTCCTGTATGAAGGAATCCCCACTGCAGCACCAAGTTCCCAAGTCCCTGGATGTCCCTTTAGTATTCTCCCTATGTTCCCCAAAGAAAGAAGCCATCCCACTTTGGAAAAGTTTATTCTAAGAAAGCCAATGCAGGGGTGGGGTGTGGAGATGGGCGCCTCACTGGGCATTCAGCTTCTTGCTGGCTTCATCGATCATACTCATTAATCTGGCCTTAAAGCTCTCAAACACGGGCATCAGGCCCTGGCGCAGGTCCTCCAGAGCGGGTTTGGCCTTCTCGCCGAGCGCCTTCAGATGGCCGGTGGCCTTGGTGTGGTACTCAGCCAGGGTGGGGCTGTCCTTGAGTTGGGCCAGGCGCTCAGCCAGGCGCTCGCGCATCTGGTCGCTGTAGGGAGTCAGCTTTGTGCGCAGAGTATCAACGTGTTTGCGCATGCGGTCACGAAGATCCTCACCCAGAGGGGTCAGCTTCTCCTGCAGTTCCTGCAGCTTCTGGCGCGCGCCATCGCGCAGCTCCGCGCCCAGAGGCTCCACCTTCTGGCGGTAGAGAGCCACTTCCTCCTGCCACTTGCTCTGGAATTGGTCCAGATAGGGCTGCACCTTCGCCTTCACCTCCTCCAGGTCCTTGTTCATCTCCTGCCTCAGCCAATCTGTGTCCTTTTCCAGGTTATCCCAGAACTCCTGAGTCACTGGGCCCAGCTGTTCCTGCAGGCGACCAACCGTTGAGCCCAGGGTGTCCCAGTTCTCCAGGAGATTCAGGCTGAAGGAGGAGAGAGCAGCTGAGAGATAGCCTCAGGCATCCTGCACTGCCCCAGGTATTGGTGCAGTCCTGGGTGCCACCTATCTCCGAACGTGCAGTTGCTATGTTCCTAGTTTCCCCCAAATACGCACCCCTCTAACATTCTTCCCGCCTTCCACATTCCTCAGTATACAAGGCCTGAGGTACCAAGGACAAAGATGGGGTTGGTGCCTGTTGCCAGGCCAGTTCCCTTTCTGTGCTGGCTGACCAGTACTAGAGGTAACCCAGGGGAAGAGATTTTTGCACTCACAGGCAGAAAGAAGGGTTGTGGTTACCCACCACCCAGGTGAGTCCCATCCCTATTCCTCCATTGGACCCTGCCATGGTGCCCAAAGGTAGGATAGCAGGTGAAGATTTGGCTAGTTCAGTTACATCATCTTCTCACAGGCCTCTTTGCCCACCCTGGATAGACAACCCTTGCCCTGCTCCAGGCCCCAGGTTGGCTTCTTCCTTACTTCATCTGTTTTCCCAAGACGGAAGTTTCAAATTGAGATACATATTCTCTGCCGCTGTCTTTCACTGCGTCCACATACACAGTGGCGAAATCCTTCACTCTGTCCCATGGGGTCTGGGGATCATCTTGCTGCCAGAAGTGCCGAGCCTGGCTCCCTGGGGATGGAGGGGAGACACATGTCAGGCCAGCTCTGGGCTGAGGTCTGAGCTGCAGTGTCAGACTTGGAATTGGGAAGGAGACCAGAGAGAATTCTGTTCTCTGTGCCCAGGAAGGTAGGCCATGGAGGCCTAAGCAGAAGCCCACTGTACCAAGATTGTTGCCTCCCTGGGTTGGAGGCACCTACCGGTCAGGAAGAGCACAGCCACGGCCAGCACCACAGCTTTCATCCTGAACCGCATGGGTGACCTGAAGAAATAGAATTGCTGAGCTGCAGGGGGGTTCTGTCATAGAGAAGCCCCACACTTGCACCCCACCTTTAAGCCAGTGGAAGAAGCATCTAGAGTGGGAAAAGGTCCCAGAAACCCACAGAGTGGGTGAGGCACTAGGGAGCCAGAGTAGCCTAGGGCAGGTAGCAGCACTTACCTCCCTGGAGTTCTCCAACAGTCTCTGAGTGCCCAGCTCTTCTTCCCTGGCCTATTTATGTTTGTAGGCAGGGGCCGGGAGGGAAGGCTGATAAGCCCAACCCTGGCCCTGTCTCTGCTTACTTGTCCTGACGATGTGGAACTTAGAGTTCAAGGATCAGCTGTGTTCCTGGGGCTGGACAAACAGAGTGGGCAAACAGGAAGCTGCGGGGGCTGCAGAGCTGGGATCAAGGGTTCAGGTGGAGGAAGCAGGGGAGTGGCTGCAGACTCAGGGGGTCTCCACAGTTATGACTGCTGCACCATCCTCCTTCCTGTATTCCTATGTGTTGCAATTGTCCTCTGAGCCTGGAGTTGGGTTGGGGTAGGGAACTTCGGGCTCCTACATTCACATCCTGCCCCAAAGTTTTCTTGCATTACAAGAAGTTGATCCTGGTTCCCCAGGTAGCGTATGCCTATCTCCAGATGCCACATGCCTGATAGGCCTCCCATCCCTAAATCCAAGAACAGCTGAGGCACCAGGAACTTGCCTGGGTGAAATGCAGAGGGGCTCAGGGGCCCAGGCTGAGGATGAAGACCCCTTTGACACTTCAGAAGACATGAGGCCAATATGGAGTTGTCAGCTCCTTCCTTCTCCTCCTTCCATCCCTCCCCCGTCCCTTTCTTCCTTTTGGAGCCAAGGTCTTTCTGTGTAGCTTAAGCCTACCTCCTACTCAAAACATCAAACTACATCCTTCCAAGCGCTAGAATATGGCACCAAGCCTAGCTTTAAAATGTGTGTGAGGCCGGGCAGTGGTGGCACATGCCTTTAATCTTAGCACTTGGGAGGCAGAGGCAGGTGGATCTCAGTGAGTTTGAGGCCAGCCTCGTCTACAAAGTGAGTTCCAGGACAGCCAGGGCTGTTACACAGAGAAATAAATTCTGTCTTGAAAAACAAAAAACCAAAAACATACAAACAAACAAAAAAAAACCCAGACCAAACCAAAACAAAAAACAAACTAAAACAAAAACAAAACAAAAAGTGTGTGTATAGCTGGATGACAGTGTCGCACACCTTTCATCCCAGCACTCAGGAGGCAGGGGCAGGTTGATCTCTCTGAGTTCGGGGCCAGCTTGGTCTACAATCAAGTTCCAGGATAACTAAGACTGTTACACAGAGAAATCCTGTCTCAAAAAAAAGGAGAAAGAGAAAGAAAAAAAGAAAGAAAGAAAGAAAGAAAGGAAGGAAGGAAGGAAGGAAGGAAGGAAGGAAGGAAGGAAGGAAGGAAGAAAAGTGTGCGTGCATGCGTGTGTGTCTGTGTCTGTGTCTGTGTGTGTCTATTTTGCTGGGGATGGAAACCAAGGCCTTGTACATGCTAGTCAAGGAGTCTATTATTGTTTCATTCTAGACCTTAGCGCCACTAGGGTTTTTGTTATGTGTATATGTTACCCAGCCTCCCCTCCAAAGACAACCTCACCATCTACCATGACCATCAAAAGGGCTGGTGTAGTTCAACTATCCTATATCTCTCCAGGATGCTAAGGGTCTAGGCTTGATCCCCAGTATGAATGAGCTGGGAAGCTGGGTATGGTGGGCTGAGTATGGTGGCCCATGTCTTCAATTCTTGCAAGAGGTTTCAAAACCAGCCTTGGCTACATAGAAAGTCTAAGGACAGCCTGGGCTACATGGGACTATCTAAAACAAAACAAAACAAAACAAAACCCAGATCATCCAGGAAACCTCATCATGGAACTTGTGAATTTCCAAGCTAAAAGGAACTTTTGAGACCATCTGTTGGGGCCTCACCGATGAATTTGCTTCAAGATGAGGAACTGGCAATGTGGAAGGAATTTGCTGTGTCCCACATCTCCCGGCCCTGGAGGCAGGGCAGGGATGGACCTTGAACCCAGGCATGTGCTCTGCCCATCTCCCTAGGAAATTCCCCCACTCTCTAGAAACTAGCCAGGAGTCTCTACCAGTTCTGGGAGTGGCTGGGTTCCAGGTCACTCCCATCCCAGGAGGCCTTGGAACCAGAGAGAACCTTGGTTTGAACCTGGGCTCTGATGCTTATTCTCAGGGTGACCTGGGTGAGTTACCTCATCTCTCACCCCTGGGTTTCTTATCTGCTAAGTGAAGATAATGACAGGACACGCCATGCCTTCGTTATGAACCCAGTCACTCTGTGAGAAGCAGAATGACAGGACGGGGAAGATGCGTCTACACTTCCTAATGCCAGGAACCCATGCCTGTTGCCTAACATGGAAAATGTGATTAAGGAGCTTGAGCCTGGGGTATTCAGAGGGCACAGTAATCACAGAGGTCCTTCAATATGCAAGAGAAGACTGGAGAACAGGAACAAGGGGTAGACAATGTGAGTGCTGGCAGCAGTGATGAGCCAAGGGGCATTGACTGCCTAATCCAATCCATGGATGCTGGTGGAAGTGAAGGTGCCTATTTTTTCTGAATGAAAACTCAGAAGTTTTCAGAGGGAATACCACTCTGCCATGTTTTTAGGCATGGTTTGAACTCCTGAACTCCAGAGCTCTAAGATACTTGTGCTAACCATGGAACATGTGCACAAAACTGTTGAAAGGTAACCAGCAGCAAATGGCAATTGTTCCATGTCCCAGAATCCCGATTTGACTGTCATGAACACATTTGCATTACTAGGCCACAGCCTGTGACCCTGGCTGCTGGCAGCAGAAATGGGCAAGGCAGGTGCCTGGCTTGCAGGGACATCTTTTCCAGGACAAAACCCAGTCCCATATGTCTGTGGGACCATGCAGAGTGCCCTCTCCTGCTTGAGAGCCGCTCGGAGCAGCTTCCTAGATCTTTTGGGGGTTGGAGGCAGGAAACTGAGCATTGGCCTCCAGCCTGCTCTCCAGTTTTGCCTTACTCTTTGGCTCATTACTGAAATCATGGTGGCTAACTACTCGAGCCTAACATTTGCTCAGGTCCTCATCTCGATTTCAGTTAACTTGAGAAATCCCGTAAGGCAGGAGGCCAGGTTTTCTCCTTTGGTATTTTGCCTGTCAGAAAACTGCAGCTGAGAGCTGCTAAGGGCATTCTTGCCCCTCAGCCTTGAGATGGTGCCCCTGGGGCTGGAAGTAGGTCTGACTTCTAGTTCTCTGATGGTGGCTTCTTGACTTCTGAGCCTTCATATTTTTTTTCAGGGACATGCCTGGCTCAGGGATTAGAATCCACGACATTAGAGTAGAGAACTCTGGGAAAACCTGCTACTGAGCAGTAAGTGTGTTCCTGTCTTGATACGTGTAGCCCAGGCTGGTCTCAAACTTGGGGTAATCCTGCCTTGGCTTTCTGTGCTGAGGTTACAGGTGTATACCACCATGCTCACTTTCCTCCCCATCCCCTTCATACTTACTTGCTAGTGTCTGCCACTTTATCACAAGACACATTTGGCTTAAACTAGTCTAAACAGTGCCTTACTATTCTGGACAGGAAGTCCTTCTGGGCAGATCAATAATAAAATGGGGTCATCATAGATTGACACCCGGGTTGGCCACTGTTAGAGGTGCTGGGTGCCCAGGGTTGGTCCAGGGAGTAGAGACAATGCTCATCATTATGGTTTCTATAACCCCCCCTCACTTCCTCATCTTGGGAGCCTCCAAACTGACTTCTGCATTGGGCGAGGGCTGGCTTGGGATCCTCAGACACTCGTGGGAGTGCTGGCAGCTTCAGGAGCCATGAATGTAGCCCATTTCACAATGTCTGTCTCAATACAGCAGGTCATCTGCATAGGGCAATGCAGGGACTCTGTCCTTGGCTGGGCCTGGCACCAGAGACTTGCCAAACATTCACTGGATGAATAACATTGGTACACTAAAAGCTCCCAGACTGGCAAAGGGTCACAGGAAGGCACAGGCCTTTGCTGGTGGCAGCCCCTTCTGGAATATGTACCCGGTAAGAAATGGTGTTGGTAGGAATGGGGATCTGGGGCTGGGGTCTCCCTGAGCAGCTGAATTTCCAAGGTTTCTTGATTGACAGCCCTGTTACAGCAAGGGCACTGTCACCAACTCTGCATATTGCTCCTGCCTCCTGCTCAGGAGACTAAGGGTTTTGTGGTTGAGTGGGTGGGGCCTGGCACCAGCACACACTCAGAAAGTCTCCTTCCCTGTGCCAAGAGATGTCCAGGTTTAGTTCCAGGAGAGTGAATCCTGCTGCCCTGGAGACCCACCCTACATCTAGCTGAAGGCACCTAGTGACTTTGCCAGGGCAGCACCTGTGGCAAAAGGTGTAATGACTTCTTGCGAGTCCTTAGGGCCCATCACTGGCTCCAAATCCAGCTCACCTCTAGCAGCAGTGTGCACTTCAGACCTTCTGGGGGCTTGCCTGAGATGGTATCCTCTGCTCTCAACAATCCCATTGAAACTTTGGGCTCAAAGACTTGAAACCTTTTTATCTCTAGGAGTGTATGCCATCTGTATACAGGTGCCTGAGGAGCATATCAGATCCCTTGGAACTAGAGTTCTGGGGTGGTGTGAGTTGCAGGAAGTTGGTGCTCTTAGCCACTCAACCATTCTTCCAGCCTCTCTCACTCTTTCTAAATGCTTGATATTCCCAAAGTCACTGAGTTGTCTTCTCACAAGACTTTAGCTCTCTTCACTGTGCCTGGGACCTGTTGGAAATTCTGCCTTGTTGGAAATTCTGGAACCGAGGAACAGACAGAAGGAAACAATAGGCAAAGCCTCTTTCTACCCTGTGCTTGAGTATCTCATCATTCAGCTGATTGAGATCACCTCAGAAATGTTCTAGCCAGGGTCAACTCAAGGCTCTCCTTCCTGAAGACCCTACGGAATCCATTTTCCACCAACTCTGTAAACACAAATGTGGCCTTTTGGAGGGGTTAGAGTCCACATGGATGTCTGGGACACAGTGTGAGGTTGACTTGCCAGGCTCCAAAGGCAAGGTGAGGGAGGACTGTCAGAGCCCCACCCTACATCTGGGGATTTCTCCAGACACCGGTGTCCCTCCATCCCCACCCCACCCCATGTGCTTCCCTCAGCTAGACTCTGAACTGTAAGGCAAACAACATATCAGTGTTAGAACTTAATAAGTTTTTATTTCCACAACCTCCTACTGTCCAACCAAGTTACTAAGTTGTAAATGTCCCACACAAACAAGGACAAAATGTCTCAGCAACTTGAATCTGGAGATTTTTTTAAGCCTTTTTTTTTTTTTTAAGTTTAACAGAAATGAGAAAGAAAAAATACTTCTTACATTTTCAAAGAACAGAAATAGCAAAGTATATTCATATACATTCAACATATTGCGCATATTGGTTACTACAATATAAAGCAATGGTGATCTTGAAAACAGTTTGCAAGATGGCACGGTTAATAGGCTCACTGGCTTTCATTCTGGGTGGCTCTGGAGGGTGGCATCTGCTCTTCCATCAATCCAGTACCATGTAAACAGGTCAGGCCGAGCATTCAGAGCAGCAGCACGCCCAGGACATCAGAGTAGGACTGAACTTAGAAGCCAACAACAGTTCTTCAAGCTTTCTTGGGAAGTCAGACTTCTGGTGAGTAACTAATGACCCCATGATGTGGAGGGGAGATTGGAGGATACAGGACCATGGAACAGGTCCCTAGCAAAGCTCTTGCATTGAAAACAAACCCACTCAAGGGACAGTGGGCTCAGAAGCAAGCTGTTGGTGTCAGTGGAGAAGGATAAGCTGGGTAGGGACCCTACTGTCAACATCTGGATGCCATGCTAGGCAACTGCATTCTTCTGTGCAAATGCAGAGGCTGGAGACCCCTGGCTCTCAGAAATGAGAGTCAGAACAGAGACTACTCCTCGCTGGTTTTGAGGACCAGGAGAGAACAAGACCTCGCTCAGTCCCCAGGCTGCAGAGGAGACTTTGGTTTCTATCAGCAGAGAGAAAAGGGTAAGGACATAAAAACTAGCTATTGCGTATGCGCTGCTTCAGGTGGGGAGGGGGGCCACTGCATCCGTCCATGGCACAGAGGAGAGTGGCTCACAATGCCAATACCAAGGAAAATGCTTCAAACAGAAGGCGCAAGCCACAGTTCAATAGCACAGAATCTGGTTAAACAATTCTCTTTTAAACAAAAATTATTTTGTCTTTATTAATAATAACAATAATAACAATAATATCAACATTTACCAAAAACAATTCCTACATGATCAAGAATTAAAATGTAGGGGCCGAAGATGCTAGGGAGAGGAGGAAGCTAAGGGACTCCATACAACCTCCTATTCTAGTCTGTGACAGAGGCTGAAAGGGAAGGGCATATATACACACTCATATATATGCACACATGACTGGACCAACGGTCCTTTTTACCACGCAGCCGAGAGTATGAATGGAGGCCACACAAATAGCACAGTGCACCACTGCTGGGTGTTCACTCATGAGGGGGAACCAGTTGTATGGTAGCTGGAGGGCAGCTGAGCCACACACAGAGGCCCACACTGAGCCATACTGGTTGGAACCTTCAGCAGCAGGGCCACTCAACCTATGCTGGGTTCTGATGGAATTCTGCTGGGCCAGATAATGTTCTAGTAGCTCCCAGAAGGAGACTGTGTCAGATTCCCGGCTTGGATTTCTTTTTTTCTTTTACTCTCTCTTTCTTAGCCATTGAGCTCCGGTCTATCATTTGTTCTTGGCAGACTGGAGCAGAGGGAGAGAGGCTGCGGAAGGGAGGGTCCCGACGTTCAGCCCCTGAATACTAACCGCTGGCTCCTCTGCCTCAGAAATGGAGAAAATAAAACCGAGAGAGAGAGAGAGAGAAAGAGAGAGAGAGAGAGAGAGAGAGAGAGAGAGAAAGAGAGAGAGAGAGAGAGAGAGAGAGAGAGAGAGAGAGAGAGAGAGCACGCTAGCAGAGGTGGGGGAGGAAGAAAAGAAAATCATCCCCAAAGGAAAATTCCCAAAACAAAATACAAGCAAACCTCCAAACACCAGAAACTCAAGTACACCAGATGCCGGTTCCCAGAAGGCGGAGAACATAGATTTTCCTGTTTATTTCCTTGGTGCCTTGGTCATACAAGCAAACATAGCAAAAGTCCCTCACAACCCAAGCGGCGGCCTACTGGTGCCCAGGGTGGGGAAAGGAGCTGCACTGTTCTGGTGGAGACACAGATGGCAAAGTGGTGCACCGTTGCTGGACACTGTTGGTTTAGGATCAGCCTCCTCCTCCTCAAGCTGCACACACACCTGGGAAACAGACACAGGACTACTTTGAAGGAGCAGGGCTCGAGTCTTTACGCGTACTTCCTACTGCTTTCTAATGGTACTGGGGCTGGAACTCAAGGTTCTGCGTGTGCCATGCATGTGCTCTACCAGCAAGCCACATGTCCGAAGGCCCTCAGTGAAGTCTTTTTTAGGTGTCACTGTATGAGCTTTGCCACACTGAGCCCTGTCATGCCTCTGTCTGTGGCTTCACTTTCCTAGAGTCTTCCTATCTCCATAGAGACAGAACACCTAGTACCCTCCACACACCTTTATTAAGCCAGCAGTGCCAGTCAGCCCACCTTTTCAGCATGGGCCTCAGACTATAGATCCCTTTGTTTACTCCTTATGAAGTCCAGCTGGGGCTGGAGTTCTGTGGTAGAGCGCTTGCCTAGCCCTGGGTTCTAAGTCCAGCACCAAAACGCCAAAACACGCAACAACAAAAACAATGAACGAAGGAGCATGGCTGGATCTGTTCTTTGGTTGGGTTTCACCCTTCAGGATAGAGTGTAAAGATTAGCTCCCTTTCTTAGTGTGCTGGCCAAAGGTCACTGGCCTCTGTCCTTTGCAGCTGTAGCTCACTGGATCTCATAAGAGACATACTATCTATAACATGAGGTAGGCCACATACCTTTTCTCTATAATAAAAACTTCAGCCTATCTCAAAACTAACATAGAACTTAATGAAAACATTAGGCAGATGGGAAGGCTGCATGGAAAGAGTGACACTCAAGTTACAAGGTGCCACACAGGGAATATACACTCTGAAGGGATCAGGGGCTGGCACTGGGCCACGGGGCTGGGTTCTGACCAGGGTGACACTCACTCTCCATATCCTCCTACACGCCGGCCTGCTCCATGCTGAAGGAGACCTCGGGGTGCTTGTGGCTGAGCAGGATGTCTGTAATACACGTAGATGGATATCGAGAGGAGTTTAAATGATGGCTGCCATCACTCAGGCCTGGATGCTCGTGACCTCCCAGACTCACCCCACAGTCTGCAAGACCAAAAAGAACAAGTGAGACAGGAGAGGAGGGGAGGATGTGGGGCAGGAGAGGGAGGCACTAGTCTAGCAAACCCAGCCTGATTCCTGCTCTGACTTGGGCCACAGCAGGCCTTTCAGACTTGAGGGGCCCTTCCTGACGACCCTCCCCTTTCCTTTCACAACCCTCATAAGCAGCTGACATATGGGGGAGAAGACGAGAAACCCCTCAGAAGTCTTTTCTTGACATTGGTGGGACGACAACTGTATCGAGTGCCCACAAGGAGCCAGGCCAGGCCACTTTTCCTGGGCATTGCACTCATAAACAAACCCTCAGGAGGCCAGCATCCCTCAAGATATAAGCTAGGCCATGCATACTACCCTCTTGTGTGTCTCCACAGATAAGGACTTGGGATCAGGAAGGTTAAGGCTCTGCCTTTGAAGCATAGGAAGGGTGGACCTATCTATTATCAGGCCTCTATCTATGGTCTCTTGCCCTGGCTCTATAGAGACACAGGAATGTTCTACTAGGGTATGAGGCCCTCTAAGGAAATGTGGAAAGAGCTGTTACTGAAGGTGCCTCCTGTTGCAGCTTGGACTGTGATGACCCTGTGCTGACAGAAGCCAGAGCCCCTTACACATACACTCTCAGGGAGATGCGTGGCAAGTGACACTGTGTGTAGCACTTCACACAGTAAACTGTTTCTACAGAAGTCTGGAGCAGTCCCTCTGGGGAACTGCCCAGGAGTATCCATGGACAAGGCCTTACCTTCGTCTTCCCCATCCTGAAACTGCTGGCTGCCCATGAGTGAAGACTGACTGAGAACTGCATCTGACATTCGGGCAGAGCTCAGTGCCTTTCCTGCCACCAGGCTCATTCCTGGCAAGGTATCCAGCTGCACCTGCAGAAAACAGTCAGGAAGAGTGAGGCTGACAGACAATGTGCCACTCTCAGGGGACCCCTGTTCCCTCCACAGCAGCTCAGGCAAAGGATGTCCTGGGTCACCACTCCAAAACTCCCTTTCTCTGCTGCACAGAGCTGTTGGCTGCTTTCTGAGGGGACAGCCCTGTTCTCAATGCTCTGTCTAACAAGGTGGCTGCTAGGCATGAGAAATGTGTATGGTGGAAGAACTAAATTTGCAATTTTGTGTGACTTTAACACTGTCACATTTCAACAGCCACAAATGGCTGGCTGATGACATCTAGGTGCTACTGTGGCTGGGTGTGTCCCAGCTGACTGGTTTTGCTATGATAGGTCAATTCTCAAGAAAGCCAGAGATAGGGAAACAGTTGCCAGAAAAGGACCAAGAATTGAGGGTTCACAGGTTGAGGCCTGGGTTTAGATTTCTAGGAGAGGTTAAGACCTCAGATATCAGCTTATTGGATTCCAAAGTCTAACATTTGGATGAAAGATTACTCTGGGATGCCACCAGAGTTAAGGCTGGTCTGTTAGGGAAAATCCAAGAGGGCTGGACTCTGAGAAGATACAGAAGGGGAAGTTCTGCTTTCAAGTTAAGATTGGTACCATCCCACCTCTAAGCAGCAGGAGGGGACAACATACATAGGCATCGTCACTGTTCTGGATCGTGTGGTGTCTCTGGAGGGTCCGGGACCTGAGAGGCTCATTGACTGAGGGCCGAGTTGGATACACAAGCCCGTTGTGATCTGGCAGCTCCATTGCTTGTCCTGGAGAACTTCTATCCATGCAGTTCCCTATGATAGACTCTAGGAAACAGAGCACAACAGTGTGAGCAGACCCATGGCTTTTCTCAGTGATGCCAACTCCCATGCAGCCCCGTGCAAGAGACAATGAGTGACAGGAAGACCACAACTGCCCGATAGGCAAGCTCCGCCAGCTGGCTCTCGTGTTATAGGAGCTGGGACCATGACAATACCTACAGCAAATATGAGTTTCTTTAGGGTACTCCCTGCCCTAGGAGAAACCCCACTTAGTTGGTATGAGCTGGGCCAGACTCATCCTCTTCCCCTACTTCTCTGCTGGCTTAGCTTGTGTTTGCTCCCAAATCGGCATACAGAAGGAGAACTCTAGAGCTGCCAGAGTTTCTGGACTGAACTCATGGATGTGGCTTCTGCCTTAGCACCACCTGGGTCTCTCCTCCTGTTCCCACTGCTACTTCTGATGCTGCCCATGGTTCTTTCAGCTTTCAGAAAAGCGCTCGTACATAGCTGTGCTTGACCTCTCTCCCCATGGCTATTTTGATATCATCTAGGTCCATGGCTTCAGGTACACTGAGTCTGTGTAAAAAAATACTGTAATGGGACCAGCAAGATGCTCAGTGAAGAGAGAGACTTGTCATCAAGCTTGATGATCTGATTCAATCCCCAGAACCCACCTAAAAAGATACATGATTCCACATGTATGCTCATGCACATACACACACACTAAATGTGAAAAGGATTACTGAAATGCTTCCTTATGTTTCAGATCCACAGACCCAACTATTTTCTTGAATATCTAACCAGTATGTAACACTTATGCCAAATTCCAAACTCATCGTCTTTCCCAGAACCTGTTACTCCTCCAGATAAGGTGCTTGTTTGAGCACCTTATTTCCTTCATCTTTAAGGGATGAGCTCTTGGAGTCATGCTTGATTCCTTTTCTCCTCTCCCACAGTAGCTAGAAGTCTGAAGCCACTCACTCAGCGGTGGGGTGGACACTTCAGCCCCCAGACTTTCTACTTCCCATCAAGGCCCATTACCTCTCTCTTAAATTGTTTTCTAAACACCCCCAGTTACTACCCTATAAAAACTGTGCTAGTCTTTTTGTTTTTATCCCTATTCCTATTTTATATGTGTGCATGTGTGTGTTATACATGTATAGTACACGCACATGAGTCTATGTGTGCACGTGTCTGTTACATGTATGTAGTACGTGTGTTGTGTATATATATATAGTGCTACATCCTAGCTCTTGTTCAAAGATTTAGAACATTAAATTTAATTAGTTGTGTGCACATAGGTTCGCACATGCTATGACTGGGGTGTGGAGGAGAGAGGACAACTTTCAGAAGTTGGTTCCTTCCATTGTAGGTTGCAGGGTTCAAACTCATGTCATCAGGGTTTTACCTGCTGAGCTATTTCACTATCAATCAGGAGCAGGCAGCAAATCTTAAAACAGTTCTGGCTCTTGGTATTTAGCATCCTTCTCCTTCTCCTTCTCCCTCTCTCTCTCTCTCTCTCTCTCTCTCTGTTTTCCTGTCTGTTTTCTTTCCCACTTTTGAACTTTTTAGATCTGTGAAATGAGGCTTCTCCAAATCCAAGCACCCGCCCAGCCTTTTTGAAGTCCTTCAGGCTCTGCTTTCCTGCTTTTAGCTCTCCTGCCTGGCTTCCTGAGTGATGCTCTCACAGCCTGAGAGTACCACCAGGACGTTAGGAGCTGTCACAAATCAGGGGACCAGCTTTCTTGGGTGCCCAGTTTGGCACTCCCTCCTCCGTCAAGTGGAGGTGGCACAGTGGCCATGAGCACAAGTCTGGGAGGGGAGACTCAGCTTGACTCTAGCTCATTGCTTCCAAAGGAGTGGGGAGGAGGAGCCAGGGAGCTGATCCTTCTGGACCTCTGCTTCTGTGGGGTGGGTACACAGACTGCTAACAGGACAAGGGACACTGGACAAGTTAGTTATCCAAACTTTAATTTTCCAGAGTGGCAGCCTCTGATCTGGAAGAAACATGTGATTACAAACCAGATCCAGGGCTGAAAACACAGCTCAGCAGCAAAATGCTTGCTTAGTGTATGTAGGACCTGTGTGTGATCCTTAAGCATCACAAATAAATAAATAAATAAATAAATAAATAAATAAATAAATAACCACGCCAGATGAAAATGAAGCATACTGATGGGAGCTGGGGAGCAGGCTTTTACTGGAAGGGTTGGCATCTCATGTTCAGAAGTTGTGCTGGGAAGGGGCAGAGTGAGAATAGGGAGCTGCTGGGAAAGGTTCTTAGCTGTCACCCAAAGGCACCTGTGTTGAAGACCTGGTCACTAGCATGTGGCACTAATAGGATGTTATGAAACTTTTAGGAGGGAAAGCCCAATAAAATGAAGTTAGGCTATAGCTGGTGAGATGGTTCAGCAGGTAAAGCACTTGCCATCAAGTCTGACGATCTGAGTTCAATCCCCAGGACCCCAGTGGAAGGAGAGAACTGATCCCCCCTCAAGTGCCCCGAGCTATATGCAAATTATCTCCCCCCCTCTCCCTCTCATCCCCCCAACTCCCTCTCAGGGTGGCAAGATGGCTCTGTGGGTAAAGGTACTTGTAATAAGCCTGATGGCCTGAGTTCCATTCCATCCCTGGGACCACATCGTGAAAGGAGAGAACAAACTCCTCCTCCATGTTGTCCTTTGACCTCCACACAAGGACTATGGAACATAACCCACCTACCCACACTACACAAAATAAATACAATGAAAAAACGTTTTTAAAAAGTTAGGACACTGGGATTTGTCTTGACTGGGATTTGGGAGCCAGGTCCGAGTTTGTTCCCTCTCTGTTTCCCAGCCAGAATGAGGTGTGGCTTTGTTCCAATGTGTCACACCTTGCCATGAAGTGCTGCCACACCACAGGCCTCAAAGCAACAAGGACAAATTATAGTTGAAACCTGACAAATCTTTCCTCCTCATAAGCTGGTCTCCTCAGAGATTTGTCACAATGGGACAGGAAGCTATCACAGGCATAAAGGAAAGAATACAAGGGCCAAGAATGAGGCAGATAAGCCAGGGTCCAGGTTTATCACCACTAAAGTACACAAAATGTGGCAACCAGGTAGCCTCCACTTCACCCTTAAGGTCCCTTATCTGACAGGTAAGGGCTCCAAAACCCTGACACAAGTGGAACGTCTATGGTAAACATTAAGGGCTCCACAGGTAAAGGAATGAGTTTAGGAAGAGTGCTGAGCCTCAAAGTCCATAGATGAGACCTGCTGATCAGTGGCTGTAAAAAAAGGCCAACCCGCTGACTAAGGAACAAGAGTCTCTAGCAGCCTTTATGCCATTTCAGGAGCTGGAAGAACAGGCAGGCTCACAGAAGGGTATATAAATAAAGCAGGGACCATTCCTTCCAATAACCAGGGGGGTACAGAGGGGAGGGTGATTGTCTGAACAGGTAAGGGACAAAATGCACAAAGGATCCAAGGCACACCCCCACACCCGGGGGGACTCTGGGGCAGTTTGCGTAACTGTTGAATCTGTCAATGTTGACTCGTCCTTACTATTTACTGGGTTTTAAGAGTAAATGAGAAACAGTATGTTTGCCTACCTCTTAAAGGCTCTAAGGGTTAACATCTTAATCCCTCCAAGGCTGTCAGCACTTTACCCTTCAGGCCTGAAGCTGACTGGGCTCAGAGAAGAGGATGTAATTTTCTGAGTCTAAGTTGGTAACCTCATTGTATAAGCTGGTTGTGCTATTGTATTTATTTATTTATGCAGTCAAAGCTGAAAGCCACTGTAACAGTGCAGCAAGAAGGTGCATCTTATCTTCACTCCTCAAATGGAAGACAAGGAGACTGTAGGCAGTAGAGGGCAGAGTTAGCCCTGAAACCTGTGACATTTGGAAGAAATTTCTGACAGTGTGTGCTCGGTGCTCTGTCCAGGCTGGCCTCCTACTGACTGGAGGCAAACAGACATACAGGAAACAGGAAACCATGGACACAGGACAAGGGCATCTAAATTTCCTAGACTAACAGAAATAAGCTTTGCTTATCCACCCTTAAGAAACACTAGTATATCCAGAGTTCCGAACCTGTGAACTACAGCACATTCCAGACCACTTCTGATATAGCTCTTCAGGAATAGGCCCAAAGACAGGCCCTTCAGCTTTCTCTCCCACATCCCCAAATCCCCACAACACTGGCTCAGTACATGTATTCAGCTTCTCTCCTGCAATTCCACTGAGATGGAAAGGCATTCAAGAACCATCAGGTGCCTCTGTCCTAACAGGGTAGCAAGGGTGAGGGTCTTGCCCATCCTGTCGTCTGGTGGAGCACACTGTTAGAACCCTTTCTTTGCAAAAGCCATGGTAAATGAGCTGCAAAATTTCTTTATTCTTACTACGACTGTGTATGTATATGTGTGTGGGTGCCATGGGACATATGTGGAGGTCAGAAGATACATTTTTGGAGCTATTTCTCTTTTTCCACTCTTACATGGGTCCTGGGATCATACTCAAGTTGTCGGGCTTGCATGGTGAGGGCTTCACCCACTGAGCCCTCTAACCAGCCCACTCTAAAATCCGATAAAACTGAAAATGTAGACAGGTGTGGTGGCCTAACCCTGTAATGCCAGTACTTGGAAAGCTGAGCTAGGAGGATCATGAGTAGAAGGCCAGCCTGGGTTACACAGTGACACCCTGCCTTTAAAAAGAGGGAAGGGGGAAAGAGAGAGAGGAAAAAGAAAAGAAAGACTGAAAATTTACAGGCATGTAGGGTAAGGCCAAGACTGCTCCTACTGAAATGGGATTTATCTTTTGAGGGGAGGGTGTTTGTTTTTTGAGACATAGTTTCTCCGGGTAGCCCTGGCTGCACTGGATCTCACTCTGTAGACCAGGCTAGCCTCAATCGGAGATCCTCTGCCTCCTAAGTGCTGGGATTAAAAGTGTGTGCCACAACAGCCTGGCTTCTGAAATAGGATCTAACACACGCTTCACCAGGGTGGGTGTGATAAGGAAACATGAACTGGGTCAAAACCACCAAGTACAGAACAGGGGTTCTACAAGATTTCATTTAGCTTAGTACCCCTCACTACTGGAAGAACAAATAGCATGTTTATCAAGTAGGCCCGGGTCAACTTGTGACAGCATAAGGACAGCGGGGTTCCTCCAGAGAGGATCACTGTGAACCACAGGCTGATCCCAACATGCACACTCCAAGGGGTTCTGAAGCAACTTCAGCAGCACGCACTGGGCTTCACTAATTCATGAATGCCTCCCCTGCACCACTTCACTCTTTGGGGCCTAAACTCACACAATTATACATGCATGTGTGGCTTTGCTGGGGGCAGACAGAAAGGAGAGCCACTCATCTCTGTGATACAACAGCAAACAGGTGGGAGTAAAGGAAGCTTCTTCAAAACTAACGTCAAAGGTCAGGGGGAAAAAGTCAATGATAAACAGGACCCCATAGGGTGAGAGCCACCCAGAGAAAAACTGGGTGTAAGGCTGTAGGGACAGGGCAACTTTGAACTTTTGAGGCCAACAAGATATTTGTAGGGGACAGTGGCAGTGATGGCGGTGGATGGACAGGGAGGAAGGAAAGGAGAGTCACAGTGGTTAGTTAGCTAGGAAGGACAGATCTGATGATGACATAACTATAACATGCAGCATGAACCTGAAATGAAGCCTTTGCCCGGGAAGAGACCTGACTGGGACCAGTTGGCAGCCTGGTAATCACTCAGAAGTTGTTCTAACTGCCAGGAGAATGAAGCAGTGTGCCACGATTCTCATGGCAATATGATGCTGGACCTAGATAAAACTCTGCCTCTTAGAAAACTTTTTTCCCCTTAGCTTCTCCTAACTCTTCCCTGTGCTACACTAAGCAAGCCTGGGTGCAGATGGCTCTGAGACAGTCACCTGGCTCTTTCCTGTGCTTCCCCCCAGAATCCTCTCTGTCCGTGTGCTACCTAGCGTCTGAAAACCTCCCCGTTCTTCGACAGAGCTGGCCTCTCCCTATTCTGGTGCTGCCACGGCATGTGTACTGAGTGCGCTTAGCTGCCTGTGGACAGGAAGTAGCTAAAGAGGCATTTCTGACAATAGAGGACAGTGGGGGTGAGGCCTCTCTATCCTTCAGGTACACGGGCATCATAGAGGAGAAAAAGTGAAGACAAGACAGAGAAAGTACCCTTGGAAGAACACTTCTACTGTATTTAAACACATGGCAACTGGGGGCTGGGGGAGGGGCACTGTTCCCTCCAGCCTCATTCTTTCTTCAGTAACAACCTGTACATCAGAACATGTTCAAGAATTTGTTGGGATGGTGACAGAGTGACAGTGCTACTTGTCCCAGAGGTAAGTTACACATCTCCTAAGTCTTGGCTGCTTCACTGGTAAAACGGGGACAATGGGCCATTACACCGACTAAAATATGGGCCAGGTGTGGCTGAGTGGTAGAACTTGCTCACTTAGCATGTGTGAGGCCCTGGGTTTTGCTCCGGCACCACAGAAAGAAGGAATGACAGAATGAACTGCATGTGAGCATGTGTGTATGGTGCAGGGTCAGCATGCTAACTCCTCACACAGATTCCTTCCCCAGTATGTCCACCAAGGCCATCTGCCTCATCTAGAACTACCCAACAATAGAAAGTTTCCAGGCTTCTCAGGCAGCTTAGACTGTCAGTTTCCTGTAACAGTTTCTATAGGGAGCTAAAATTTGCTGTGAGTTCTACCCCGATCTAGGTTCTGCTCCACAACACAAATTTAGCTAAGTGGAGTCCCTCCTTCCATCTGACAGGTCTGTTCCATCCCAACCCCCAACACTGCTAGGTGTCTCTCATTGTACATATGACCTATTCAGAAAGTCCCATCCTAAATACGGCCACCAAAGAATACAGCATACATGTGAGAGCAGACCTCTAGGCTGGGTGACACAATCTGCTCCAGAGGTTAGGATTTTTTTTTTTTTTTTGAGACAGGGTTTCTCTGTGTAGCTTTGTAGACCAGGCTGGCCTGGAACTCACAGAGATCCACCTGCCTCTGCCTCCCGAGTGCTGGGATTAAAGGTGTGCGCCACCACCGCCCAGCTCAGAGGTTAGGATTTCATTGTCATTTTTATGCAACATATTTCCCTCTTCTCTGAGCATATGACAAATACATCTGAAGCCAGCAAGTCTTCATATAACCTGCTCTGCACTATAGGGTTTAACTAGCCCCAGAGCTGAGTTGTGTGTGTTGCCTTAAGGACAGGGCAGAGATGCAGGCAGCTCCAAGGGAGGGAATGATGGAATGCATGCTCAGAGTTGCAACCCCTGATAAGTCCATCTTTACCATCTTTATTTCCTCCATGGTTGTGGTGAGGATGGGTTAAATGAAAGGCTGCCATGGGTTGGAAAGTGTTCCTGGTTTTGTTAGGCAAACATGAGCATGCTAACAGAACTCACTGAGGAAAACCCTCATCTTCAGATGGCAATGAAGGCAGCCCTGATAGAGTTTACACCACACTGTCAGTTACCCGGTGCTCTCTTTCTCATGAGAAGCATGTATAAATACATGCTAGAATCGTCACACAATGCTACAGAGGGCCAACCAATGTTCATCATGCCAGAACCAAGAGTCTAGAGCTCTCACAGTGAGGACAGGGTGAGGCCAGGGCTGGGGCCTCTGACTCCCAGCCCCACAGTTTACACATTTCTTTAGTGCTGCTGGTTGTCTCTACTGCAGCTTTCTGATGACAGTCGGGCATATCTGGATTCATGTCCTGGGCGCTGTCCACTTTTATCACTTTATTTTATAAGTGGCCTCTTACCCACCAATAGCCACTTCTATATGCTTCATTTCTCCCCCAAATGGTCCTGAGGGTCTTCTCAGGGCTCCCTGCCCTCCTTAGGAGCACAGAGTACTAGTGGAACCTAGCTAATGCCCCTGCACACTTAAATTAGGGCAGACTTGCCCAAGACTTTTACTTTGAGGGAACTCTTACCTCGACTGGGCACCTTATTTCTACTGAACGTGGCAGCTGGCTGGTGTCCGTAGGGATGTATCCCCAGCTCCCGGGCCTGACTCACAGTTCCCAGCAAAGACTCAGGGTCCCCAGGTCCACCGGTACTCAAGAGCAGAGGGCTGTCGTGGCAACCTTTGGTCAGTGTGCTTGGGCTCTTGTCTGCGAAGCCCGCCTTGGCCCCCTCACATAAGCAGTCCTCTTCCATGCTCTCCGAATGCATTAGTGGCGGCTGATGGGCATACCCATGGGTGGGGGTGGCTGAGGGACCCTGTGAGATACCTTCCTGCACCCTGATCTGTAGGAGATGCTGAGGGCTGGCGTGGTGGTGATGGTGGTACGAGTCAGCAGTTTGATAAGATAAAACCTGGTGCTCTGTCATACTCTGTCCCCCGATGCTAGGAGCTAGGCTCCCAGCATCCCCTTGGTTCATGTGCCTGAACAATTCATGGTATTCCTGCTGTTGCTGCTGCTGCTGCTGCTGCTGCCGATGTTGTTGCTGCCTTTTAATGAGCTGTGCAAACTCTGCTGGAGGCAGCCGAATGTCCGAGTGGCCAGTGAGCGAATGCCGGGGCGAGAGCAGTCCTTGAAGGATGTGGGGAACCTGCTGGTGTCTGGTATAGTCTGGCGGTGTAGGAGAGAGCAGGGCCTGCTGTAGTGCTGACGTGGTATAGTGTGGTGGCTGCTGATGTGCACTGGGAGGGAAAGTGGGGAACTGGTCAAGTGGAGGGACTTTCAGGGCTTGAGTTGGAGGAAACCCCACTCCTGTTGAAGGGCTGTAGCTGCTGGGGGACCCCCGGGACTGGTCCGAAAACAGATGGGGGTGTAAATGCGCCTGGTCGTAGTTAGCAGTAGAGAACCGATTCATATTCAAGCTGCAGACACAAAAGGGTGTGAGTACCAGGCATTCGAGTAATAACTACACCAACTTCCCTGGGGATAGTCACTACTAGCCTTCACTAGCATGAAGCTCCCATGGTACAGACCTGTGCTGTGACAGGGAGGGTTGTGCAGTCACTGCTATTTGTCCCCTTATTTGCTTATTCGAGTCTTTGAAGAAACTTATGGCACTTGGCATGTAAACTGCAATCTTGAAAGCAACAATCCAGCCTTGGTTTGTTTCTTGAATAGGCTCTGAAGAGAACCTTCAACTCCTGATCCTCCTGCCTCTACCTCTAGAGTGCTGGGGTTCTGGGTGTGGGCTAGCACACTGGTTTGCGTGGTGCTGAGGACTGAAGCCTCAAAGCTGAGGGCTTTGTGTATGCCAACCCAGCACTCTATCTGCAGAGCTGCACCCTCAGTCTGATCTAGCCTTTCTTAAAAATGATCTGAGCTCTTTAGAGCAGCAGTCTCCCAGAGAACAATAGAGAAGGAAAGACCCTGAACTGATAACCGAGGGGAACTGACACCTCCCTGCATTCCTCTAACAGACCTTCCCTTCCTTGCAGGCCACCAGGAAGGCACGCCGCCATTTTTCTCCCACCTCACTAACAGTTTGGTTCATGAACAGTCTACAAGCTCATCTCCAGCCCACCATGCTACTTCTGCAAAGGGTAACACAAGAGCACAGGCTCCTCACACTTGTTCCTTCTCACTCACTCTGCTAAGGGGCTTCTTCCTCTCTAGATCACCTACTCGGGGGCTGGGCAACACCCAGTAGCTTACCTGTGGGCCTCTGCGCTGTCAGCACTCAGCTGCTTGGATAAGGGCCGGTGCCCATAGCTGAAGGTAGCCATTAGGTTGTTACGGTGCTGCATCTGAATCTGATTAGCACTGGGGTTGATGGTGATGCCCCGCCCAGCAGAGCCTGCAGTCGTCCCTGCTATGTTGCTGAGCATGTCAACTGGCTCCTGTAGCTGGATAGTCACTGGCTGTGACTGGCTAGGCTGCTGTATGCCCAAACAGGTTAGTGCCACACTGGGAGGTGGGGAACAGTTCTCAGGCTGCTGCTGGAAGATTGCACCATGGGAGGGTAAGCCTTGAAACTGGGAGGAAGATGTAGCACCTGTGGAGAAAGGGACAGACGGCAGGGTGCCCAGGTTACCTGCCAGCTGCAAGCAGGGAGCCCAGCAGGAGATTCACAGCACATAGCATCCACAACAGCCTTCTTAAACCTCACTTTATAAGACAATACCAAGAACTGGCAGAAAAACTCACCAGGTCCTACCCATAGAACTATGATTCATAGGTCAGGTGGGTTCCCCCATGAATTTGTATTTCCACTACAGCTGTTCTACAGCTGGATTTTGAGTAGCAGGGGCAATATGCAGTGCTTCCCAAACGTGAACACGCACGAATGACACTGGTAATTGGTTAAATTGCGCAATTCTGATTTCAAGGACTCCACCTTGATTAGAAGAACCTAGAGGCAATACTAATGCTTTTCCAGAATGCCAAGGAGACTGACAAGGAACTGACTCTGTGCTAGTCTCTAAAGACTCACACCCAGTAGGAGGACTGGAGAGGGTTTTTTGGAGCTATATTAATAATGGTTAACCTGTATTAAGGACTATTATATTAGTTACTGTCCCAACTGATTTACATATATTGCTATTATTACAGTTGTTACTGAGAAAGCACAGGTATACAGAAGTTAAGGAATTTACCCAAGGTTTCACAATCAAGAAACAAAATTAAAAAAAAAAAAAAAAAAAAAAAAAAAAAAAAAAAAAAAAAAGAAGCAACAAATCAAGGCAAAAGACCAAGTCTTTTTCTGCATGGCATGTAATGGACCTATTTCCATGGCCAACTCCACTCACCGTGAGATGGGATCATGGCACTGCTGACGGGCGGAGGACTATTACTTGGCTGCCTGAAGAGATGATTGTTGGGGTGGTTGGGGGGTGGGCTTGAAGGTTGAATCCTTAACCTTAAAAAATGACAGGACAGATGCATAAGCCTCCTGAGGTGACAGAGCCATCTGGAGTTAACATTTAGCCATATGATACACACAAACAGACATCTTTTAGTTTGGGGAATCCAACTGTGGTAGCAGGCTACGGCAAGCCTGTCTACACTTCATTTCATTAGTTATCCCCTGCCACAAAGGCAATGCTCCCTGACCTGGCCTGGCCTACAGTGGATGTTAGCTTACTCTGTTCATGCAGCTAAGGAAATAGCCAGGATTTTAGGAAGCCCCTTCAACTCTAAATCTGCTGCTCTGTTTTCCCAGAAGACTCTCCCAAAGTGAATGCTCAGGTCAATCCATTTTTCCCATGAGTCCGGCCCAGAGTGCCATGTGGTCCAACCAATGACTTAGCAAGAGTAGGAGTGGTTCATTTACCTCTGGAGCTGGGTGAGGAGGGCTGGCTGATTTTCACATGCAGCCTGAAGAGGCGGGGAAGGCTGAGGAGGACAGATAGAATCCTAAAATAGAAGAGGGTGGGGAAGGAAAGCAGTACCATCAGCTGCAAAGTTCATCAGAGCTCTCTTGGGAAGGGAGGGTATGGAAAGTAACGTCTGTGACTCTGACTTTGGCTCCTCTGCTTTATCAAAGGCTTTGGCAGCTTTTAACATGTCACCCACAAACATAACTCACACTCCACTTTGCCCTGAGCCCTTTTCACAATGTTCAGGCTAATGAACCCGAAAGTAAACTCCAAACACACTGGAAACAGCAAAGAGTGAATGAAGGCCTACTTGGATTTGCTGCTGGAGAATCTGATGGTGCTGCTCCTGCTGGTACAGCATATGCTGCTGCTGGGTCTTCTCCAGGGTTCTCTCATCAACCTGTCCCCCGTACATCTTCTGCAGCTGCTCGCACTCCTGAAGGGAAGGCAGTGGGTATTGATGGGGCACAGCCAAGCCTACCCCATGCAGTGATCTCAGCAGAGGCAGATCTGTCCCAAGGTCTCATGGGCAGAATGAGCCACAGAAGAACAGTGTTCTTGCTGAGTGTAGGCAGGGATCCTCACTCTCCGCTCTATGGGAATGAGTGGGAACCACCAAGGACACACTGTGTGCATGAGTGAGTGTCCAGTGTGTGGAACCAAATACAAAGACAAAGCACATGCTACCTGAAGCCCTTGGTCCTTCATAGCAGTCTGAAAGCGGGTTTCCTATCTCTGGGAGCCACACCTGATATTAACAAGGTACAACAGCAGGGTCCACTAGGACCCACCTGTGTAGCAAGGGGAATACCAAGATTGCTTAAGAAGTACCTTCCCTGTTGCTTCCCAGTGAAACCCAAATCAGAAAGCCTTTCCAATGAACTACAGAGGCTAGAAACATTTTAGTCTTACTATGAGGGAAACAGTTTGACCCTGGGGAGGGCAGTCTATGAGGAACGTGCATTAGAGAGCTATACTGTTTTAAGCTAGAACACTTCAGTTCTACTGGCACGAACGAAGGGCATAGAGAGTTACTGCCCCGGTCCTGGGACACAGCATTGTTACCCTGCTCCTCCATAGATTACCTGCTGTAACTGTTTGATGCTGCTGTTGGTACCCATTTTTTCCAGGTGAGCTTTGAAGGCCTGGATGCTCGCAGCCCCATCTGAGAACCGGCGCACGGGAGAGAAACGCTCCGTAGGGAGGTGCAGAGTGTTGGAGTCCTTGTAGGTGGAGCTGAATATATGGGAAGAGACAGTTAGCAGCTAGGACTCAATGGGGGAGCTTCAACCAATCACACAGGGACCATGTTCCAGATCAATACAGAGACAGTGGGCTGTGTGAGGAGTCCCACACACTCCCATGTCATTTCCTAAGGTGGCTGTTCCCCTTTAGAGACTGTGGACCTTCATTTCCTACCTCTACTTACCTTAGGTCAGTGAGGTCCTAGGGTCAATTACATCCAGTTCTTATAAAGATACTAGAGCAGGGTACAATTCAGCAATATAATATAGCCAGGATTGGCTATACCAGAGCTCTGGGTTTTATAGTCATTCATTTATTTTCTACTATAGTTACATTTTGGGGGGCTTATTTTGTGCAAGCTTGGATTTTAAAAACCAGATACCCTATCTGGTATCTTCAGAAACTCAGAATTCACCATTTGATCCAGAGTTTCCTCCGGCAGTAACCTATGTATGGTTACTAGACTGAATCAAAGTCAGTTCTGTGGTCAAAGGTCTGGTCTGGAACTCACAGTTCTGTTTTAGAAAGGGGAGGGTGGAGGATGGGGTGGGGTTAGATAGGGACTTCTGATCCCAGGATAGAGACAGCGCATTCCTCAGGAATGTGGGCCTCAAGATCCTGCACGTACCTTGTGGACACACAGGAGACCTGCTATGGTGAGGAGCCCTCACACAGCAGCACCTGCCCAACCTCCTTCTGACAGAGGGGTCCCCTCTGCTCAACCAGAACACAGCCAGTGTCTTATGGGAAGAAAGAATAGCCATTGATGAGGAGCCCAAAGACAGCACTAGGCTGGCTAACACCTATGCATGTCACCTAACCAGAAAGAGATGTTTATGAGCTGAGATAAGCAGGTTAAAGACTGCAGAGGCAGCGTCCCCACAGCTGATGGAAAGGGTCAGGGTGGCAGGTCTAGGGCAGAGATGACATTACACTGAGCTGTGGGTGAGGTGATTGGTCACCTCGCCAGTTCGGATTGAAGCAGAGCCAAAGCCAAGAAAGCAGGTGAACAAGCAAGTTCAAATACAGTGCAGACAGGGAAGGGCTGAGGAGAAACGATGACGGCAGCGAAGCCAAGAGAGTTCTGATGACAGGTGAAAGCCCTCAGTCTCTTTACTAATGGCGCTTCTGCTTCAGACTTCATCAAAGCTTTAAGCAGTAGTGAGCTAGTGAAATGAGCATGAGCATCTATTTGTTTTAGTAATGTAACAGACAGATTAATCAGGGGTGGGGGAAGGGCATCACAATCGGAAACTGCACTCAGGAAGGCGGCTTTCAGAAGCATGCTGTGTCTGTACTTCAGGCCCTCTGAATTAAAAGAAAGCCCGGCATCGTCCCTCCTAACATTCCACTCCTACACTTTCAGTATCTTCAGGCAATCGACAGGTTTCTGTCGCCAAGAGCTGTTCTTCAAGCAGTCTTTCTACACAAAATCATCCTTTCCCATTACAGCAAGAACATCCCAGGTTCCAGGTGTGGCACGGCTTTCTGGAAACTCAGGCTGTGAAGAGATTGGCCCCAGCTCATCCTGGCTCAGTAACTTCAGGGGAGCGGTTCCAAGAACCCGTCCTCGGCAGGGGCATGGGCAGTGTCAAGCACGCTTGACTTTATTTTCATTAGCACTCAGAACAGCCTCACATAGGCTGCTATTTCCACTGTACCCTTCAAACAGAGATGCAGCCCCCAACTGGACAATCTGTCTTGTTAACTTTTAAATCACACACTTCCAGGGGTGAAAATGTTGACCAGCCCCTCTTCTGTCTCCATGGTGGACTTCACCTAGTATAACACAAAGAATAGATATATATTCTGTTCTTTTAATCATTTTCCAGAAAACGAAAGTATTTCAGTGACACAGACAGGCCACCCATATCATATCGTGTGCTTTACGGCCTTGGAATGCTTCTCTTTTCCCCCGAACTAACTTCAATCTCTTCTGTGTTTGTACGGTGACTCCACCAAGACATGCTTGGTTTACACAAGTGCCCCACAGTACACAATCTGCCACTCAAACATTCATTTCTTTCCAACTCAGACCATCTTGGCCCCAGAAATCCATGTAACACTACCAAGAGTGTGCTCATGGGAACAGACACAGAGTTGTAGGAGGCCAGGCCCTGGCAGTGACTGCAGTCACAATGCTCATCACACAGAAGGACCTGCAGGTTGCCGTGATCTTCTTTTAAGAACAAAGGTCAACAGAACAGGGGGTCTGTGAGGATGGCTGGCTGGAAAGTGCTGATCACAGTGTTTTCCTGGGGAGCACGGAGGATTAAAGCTAGACACTCAAAGGCTAAAACCTACAAAACAGGCCTGGGAAGGGCTGACAAATCAAGTATCAGACTAGAAGAGGAGGTGAGGAGCAAAAAAAACCAAACAAACAAATAAAAACAAACAAACAAACAAAAAACCCAAACATTTTTAGAACAAGTGCAAGTACGGAGTCCTAAGTTACGAGCTGCCCAGGGGTGGGGTCAGCTCACTAGCCAACAAGCACTGAGGAGCTCTCCATGAGTGATGTGTAGTTCCCAAGAGGTTTCCAAGAGGTTTCCATCGGAGGGACTGTGCCATCACAGTCGTACAAGAGAACCTTCATTCCTTCTGCTCCTAACAGAACTTTTTCTTTCTAAATCGTTCATGGTCATTTATAGAAGCTTATGTTCGTTCTTCCGTAGTGCCAACGTGGCAGTAATGATGCTCCTGTCTGCTCAGGTTCACCGTCCCTGCTGACGCCCAGTGAGTGAGAAGCACAATGAAAACACTGTATGGAGCTGATCAGTGTGACTAGTCACAAGTGTTCATTCCTATTGGCATACACATATACCCAGTTTCCTCAGAACCCACTGTTGACAGCCTTCCCAAAGGAAGACTGCATTGCACGACCCCCACAAGAAGACTGGAAGGAACAGATCAAGTGATGGCTGCTGACTTAGGAAACGTGGCCTGTGAGCTTGAGGACAGCATCAGAATGGACATGGCTAAGGCTGTCAGTCACCAAGGGAATCACGGAAGACAATCACCTCAGCTCTCTTGCTGCCAGGCTAGACTTGGAGAAGTTTCCCTGGTCAGGATGGTAAAAGCTTGTTTTCCCTTCTTCAAGGCAATGATCTAAATAACAGAAGCCCAGCGAAGACCTTGCTGCCTTCAAAGAATGATGTCCCAATTCCTGTTCTACCATTCATTAGGGATGCACCTCCCTCTACAGCCAGCCTGATGCTCAGGGCTAACACCCTATGAAGTGCCCTTTCTTTCGAAGGTGATGAACTATTAGAGTCAGGTCTGTGGATGTTGCTACAAAACCCTCATCTCTAGAGTTGCCTTCTGAGAGCATCACTCCCAAGAAGGCCTACAGGAATCAGCAGCAGATGATAAATAGGTCTGCAAGGAAACAGGATGGAAGGACCTTGGATTGCTCCAGAATCTGAGAGAAAACTTTCGCCCTGTGCATAGCTTAGAGTTGGGAGCTGAGAAGATGTGAGTTAGGGATGGCAGGTGGCTTCTAGTTAAAGCCAGTCACCATGACCTGGAGACTAGTCATAAGGGTGCTGGTCCAATGAGCCTCAAGGAAGCTCACACTGCCATGTGGCTACTCACCGATGCTGGTCAGGTACCAGGTGAGGAGGCCAGACCCGGGAACGGAAAGATTGCTGTCCTAGCTGCCGTTGTAGGTCCGGTGGGATCTCAGCTGTCGGGCTGGTCATGGCCAGTGTGTGTCTTTTGGACCTATTTGCCAAGTACCTGCAACAAGCAGGGAGGACATTTCATAGTAAAAAAGACAAGAATGTTCCTGAGCAAGAAGCAACAGAAGTTAGTCTGAGGCACTCGGTAGGACAGTGCAGGGCGCCAGAAGGGCTCCACATCAGAGTGGCCCCAGACGGGATGGAGGTGAAGCATGTCTAACTGGCCAACAGAAGTCAGCTTACTACTGAGGTGGCTGGCTTTTGAGGTTAAGAGCAGCCATTTAAGAGAAGAAAATCGGATCTAGCTCACAAAGGCAACAGGATCAATTTCCTTACTTCATTCCAATTCAACAAAATTTTTTTACATTTTAATTTTTCTCTAAATGTCCAAACTACAAGTTAGAGGAAATGAACCCAAGGCATGTTTCAAGGGAGGTATTCAGAAAGAGCCAGCTACATCTCTCGGTGTCAGAGGCCTCGGGTTTTGTGCTGTCCTTACTGCATGCCAAAGAAAATAGACTTATTTGAGGACAACTGAGTTCTTCCCTCATGTCCTGTGACCAAAACTCAATCACTGGAGAAGAAAAACTGATGTGGTCCATAGAGGACTAACTTAAGAGGATGAAGAAATAAAACCACTTGGGATATTCAGAGCTGTTTTCAGGAGGTAAAGAAGCAACGTAAGGAAATGTAAGAGTCAGGTGCCCAAGAGTCAGCCTCAGTGATGCCTTTTGCTCTAAAGAGCTTCCAGACCTACACAGGTCAGCACGGTACAAGATGCAGGCCCTGCGTCTGGCTGAGCTTCCTCAGCCCTTCTGCTCATCTTGGGCACACATAAGAGAAGCATGATTCCCTTCTGTCCCATCAAAGTGATGGACATTCTAGCCTTTCAATATTGGTCTGAAGAGAAGGTGGGGACAGAGGAAGTGAGATCTAAGACAAGGAAGATAAAACACAGCTACATCTTTTCAGGAGGAAGGCAGTACACAGTACAGTTCCTACTTTCTCCTTTCTTCAATACCATCAGTGCTCATTTGCAACCTCATATATCCTTGTATCAGCAAACCATACAAACAAGAACATCAGCGTGAGGCAGAGTCACCACAGTTTTTCTTCTAATGGCTAGGCTGTGGAGGGAGCTGGCAACCCCTGTTCACTGGGGTGCTTTGTTTTGTTTTGTTTTGTGCATAAGACAGCTTCTTTGAACAGGGGCTCTGAAATAGACCTCCTGAGCATAGGAAGAGAGTCCTGGACAACAACTATTAGGTTTATTCCTGACTATATTGCCTATGTAAGCTAAAAGCCATTATCAGACTGTAAGTCACGGTATGTAAAGTTGCTAGAGAAAGCCATCAGTGGTTAATGTCCATTGATAAAAACACCCAAAGTTTTCCCCAAGAGCCCATGAAAACCATTTTATTTCAACTTCCCTCAAGGGAAAACATATAATCTTGAAGAACACCCATATTTCTGGGAAAATACATGCTGGATTCTGGTGAAAACCCTTCCCCAGAAAATAAGAAAGACAACTCCACAAGGAAACATGCATGGAGCTGAAGACCATAGCTACTGGAACTGAGGTCAACGGACAGCACGGCATGCCTGATGGTCACTGTTGTTCTCTGTGAATTAGGCATCTATCAACATGGTTCTACAAACAATGGATATTTACATCTGTCTCTGGCCCGCATCCCACCCCACCCCTCCTTTTGTTTTGTTTTGTTTTTGATTTTCCTTTTCCAATATCTCTTTGTTGGTACAACAAGGGAGTAGAAGAAACACATAGCAAACAGCACAGGAGGTATTCATTCATTCTCCTGGGAAGGAGGAGTCCATGCCAGAGGTCCATGGCCATACTAGCTAGGATCACTGTCATCTCAAATCTCCAATTCCTTTCCAGTAAACAGTTCGTGGCAGGTAGGAGCAGGCTTTATGCCTTCTGAACACTATCAGAGTTTCGATATGAAGGCGGGGGACAAGGAAGGGAGGAGAGAGGAGAGAAAATGTTCTTAAGGTTATTGCTGTCACTTAAGGGGCTTCCAATGGCGCTTATGGAAATGAGATTTTCTGGGCAGTCTTCTGTTACTTCCGTGTGGGGAGGAACATGCCATCTGGCTTGAGCAAAGAGACCACACAAGTGTTGAAGCTGCACTGCACCACCTCCTTGGGCAGAGGTGACCTTTCGCTGGTTGCAGGGGGAGCCTGCCCAAGGACGTTCTGCAAGCACTGCCAGATGCCACATTACCTCTGCACAGCTTCCTGATCTGGCTCCCCATCCGAGCTCTCCTCATCCACAGGGGTAACTGCTGGCACTGCCTGCAGAGACAGGAAGGAAAGGCTCAGGGGGCAGCTTTCTCTGGGATGCCTTCAACTCTGATAACTGGACTGAGGCCAAGGGTCTTGTTAATGTTCTTATTTCAAAGACTTTTCTAGAACCTATGGGTTAGAGAGAACTTTCATACATCTTATTTTCCAGTTCCATCTTGCTCAAGTGATATAAATTTGGATTTCTTCCCTTATCATCTCTGTTTGGTTGCTCATCTAATACTTGGATGCCTACTATAAGATGAACTGTGTTTTTGCAGCTATAGTCTTTGCCTTTGTTTTATAGAGAAAAGTGAACAGACAACTCTAAGAGCATGATTAAGGTCTCTCAAGTCTTCTGTGGGGTGCTTGGGAATTAAAGAAGGTGCTTTGGAGGAAATAACACCTGACCTGAGACCTGGGGAGTGTACAGGAGCTGGTAGCCAGGCAAAGAGCAAAAGGGTCATAGGCTGAGGAAGTGTCCAAGGACCTGGAATACATAGAAAACTGCCTACCTAAAGTGCTGAGGAACTGACCGTGGCTCCATATTAATGTCAATCACACAGAGTTTGGATGTCTGAACTCCAAGAAAGCATCATGGTATTTGAAAGTACACTGCCACGTAACATATAATCAGATGCTTTAAAATACTCACTACCCTCCAAAACATACATGAAATGAGGAGCACCATACACAGACGTCACTGGAGCTGCTGGCTCTTCTGCATGAAGACAGAAACGCTGTGAGCCTTCAAAAACTATTCTTGGCCCAGAGGCACATGTAAGCATCATCCATACCCCAGGGCACTACATCAGCAGTGACTTCAATGACCAAACAGGGCATTTTAAAAACACTGCCTTATGCAGCGATGGCTCAGTGGTTAAGAACACATACTGCTGTTGCAGAGAGCCTGAGTTTGGTTCCCAGCACCTATACTGGGTGGCTCACAACAACTTGTAACTCAAACTCCAAAGGCTCCCACACCACTGACTTCTGGTGGCCCCTCCCCTATAATTAAAAACAAATATTTTCTTAAAAACTGGGTTAATTTCAAAACAAAACAAAAAACTTTTTGAAATAATCCCAACATCTGAATTTTCACATCCTTTAACATCCTTTAGTTCTAAGGGCAGAGTATGGAGTTAAGACAGGAAGTGGCTATAGCTGAGGCAGAGGAAGGATACTTATAAATGGCCTTGAATATCACACAAATTTATTTTGGGAAGGGCAGTGATGAATTATTACAGGATTTTAAGCAGGGGCACAGTGTTACAGGATCTGTGTTTAGAAAAGTGAGGTCTCTTCAGTTGCAGGATGGAAGAGGCAGCCAGTGGAAACCAGGAAGCCAGCCAGGGAGTCCACTGTGTTAATCCAGGTGACTGGTGATCAACCATGACTTAAGGCAAGGGGGGCAGAGATGGAGAGATGTAAGCTATTTAATCCATAGACATTAGATAACTGACAGCAGGAATAACAATAATTGCATAAAGATTTAAAAAAAAAAATCCATGTTCCTAGCTTGTGTAGTCACCAGGACAGTAACAGTGCTGCTTTCTGTCACTGTAGGGGAAGAGAAGTGTCACTGAGTTAAGATAAGCTTTGGAACCATTGCCCTCAGATGGTGAGTACTTGTGCAGCAGCCATTAAACCTATGGGGGAGGCAACCCCACATGCACATGTGTAGAATTCAGAAGAACACTCTGGGAGGAGAAGTGGATGGCAGTAGAATTATGGGAGTGGAGAGGCTCATCCAAAGAGAAGACAGGAATAAGAAAGGGGCCTCAGGTCAGTCAACTCTGAGCAGAAAGGAAACCTGAGAGGAGACTAGAAAGCAGAAGGTAAATCCAGGGTGGCCTTGCTTACAGGAGCCAAAAAAAACCAAACCAAACCAAACCAAACCAAACAAACAAAAAAACCCCACCCACCCAAAAAAACCACCAAAAAAACAACCCCCCAGTGGCCTTGCTTACAGGAGCCAAAAAAAACCAAACCAAACCAAACCAAACAAACAAAAAACCCCCACCCACCCAAAAAAAACCACCAAAAAAACAACCCCCCCAAAAACAAAAACAAAAAAAGCCCAAGTATTACAAAGGAGGAAGAAAAGGTCACCAATGACTAATAGAGTTGGGACATCCAAAAAGATAAAGATTAAAATTGTCCACTGGATTTATCAACAAGTGCCTGTAAGTGACCTTGGCAGCAACAACTCCAGTGGACAGAGTAAGTCACCCCACTTCCCACAGTGCTAATCCTGATTCCTCTTAACCAATGCTGACCTTGCCCATCGAAAGCCTCTGCTGCCTAAGAGCCATGTCATTCACTTTGGCATTTAATCCTGTAATTTAAAAAAAAAAAAAAAAAAAAAAAAAAAAAAAAAAAAGAGGCTGTGTCTTAGCCCTGGTTAGCCTGAGACTCACTATGTACACAAGGTTGGCTGCAAACCCGAAGTGACCCTCAAGTGCCTGCCTCCCAAGTGCTGGGATTACATAGCTTTGCACATTTTTCTACTATTCAGATACTTCATGTGGGCTAGACTTATCTTTGATATCATAAACAATATGATAACAGCCCCGATGCAGAACTCTTTTCTGAACTGCAGTGCTATTGAAAGTGTGGCCCACAGGCTCACACAGCGCTCTGTGACAAAAACATGATAAAGGAAGTACAGAGATCCAGAGTGAGCTTCAGTGTGCGTTTATGACAAGTTATTAGAGTGTTTTATAAAGTACTGATCCATGATGGATCGCCAACTACTGTGATTTTATGCAGTACTGCCCTAATCAGCTCAAGAGGGCTGTGGAGATAATATTCAATGCGATGGAACTATGACAGAAAAATCACCAGGAATAAACAGAAACCTATGTGCTGAGTAAAACCTTTGTATGTCACCATCATACAAAAATGATGTGACCGAGACACGAATCATGTGAACACTGAGGTTGTGCCAAAAATGTTAGGTGGTGGTGCCCAAAGGAGAGCTGGTGAGATGGTAATTTTGAAAACGCATCTAAAAAGTGATTAATTCCATGGGCTGGCGAGCTGGCTTGGCGGGTGAGTACTTGCAGTGCAAGCCTGAAGACCGAAGTTTGATACCTGGACGCCATGGTGAAGGCAGAAGGAGAGAACTGACTCCCAAAAGCTGCCCTTTGACCTCCATGCGTGCACTGTAGCGTGTGCATACACCCTGCCAACTAATCTTTCTTTATAAGACAGAATTTAAAAAGCAATTCATTTTAGAGAGCGCTGCCACTTGAACTGCCTTCTGCTGGCGAAAGTCCTCTGAGATGTCTTTATGTGGCCCACTGGGAAAGAGGAGGTAAGTCAGCAGAAAACACACAACACTGGGAATTCAGGTATTTCAGCCGGGACCAGCCCCAGGCTCACAGCCTTCTTAAGAAAAGCCTCAGAAAAAGTCAGGCTATGTGTTGCTACTCACTGGTGTCATGGTGACAAGTGGGGAGGGTCCCCGTGGGCGCTTCAGCAGCTGCTGGGCATGCAGTTGGATGTTGGCTCCTCCATCTGATGCTCTCCGGCCAAGAGGCCCCATTCCATTCAGCAGCTGTAGTGTAGGAGGCTGTAATAGAGACTGCTCCTGCCAGGAGAATAGGCAGGATACAGTGATGAGATAGTAAAATATGGGAGCAAATAGCACCACCCTCACCTACTACAGTCAGAGGATCCTCTGATGGTGAATGGAGCTGTTTACAAAAGGAACTCCCTTCACTAAGGAAACCCTCCAACATTAGGGAGGGTCGTTTTAAAGCCTCGCAAGGGAAGATCAAGTTTGTTTCTTGTGGGCAGGCCCTTTCCACAGCCGGGTACCTTGTACTCAAGCTGCCCAGTGGGCTGCAGACTCTGCATGGGCAACAGGTTGTGCATGAAGTTCATGTTAGGGGTCACCTGCAGGAATGGAGCCTGTGGGTTCACTCCAGGAAAGCCAGGCAGGAGCTTTTGCAGGTCGTCCATAACTTCCGTGCTGACAGGAAACAGGAAAAGAGAAGTGTGGTTATTCAAGTATTTAAGTCTCTGAAGTGATGCTACCACTATACCCAGCATGGTTATTTTGTCTGTCTGTCTGTCTATTTAACTTTTCAATCTTTCTCTCCCCCCCCCCCCCCCCCCGGCAAAACAGGGTTTCTCTGTGTAGCCCTGGCTGTCCTGGAACTTACTCTGTAGACCAGGCTGTCCTCAAACTCAGAGATCATCTGCCTCTGTCTCCAGAGTGCTGGGATCAAAGGTGTGCATAACCACCACCAGCCTTTTCTATCTTTTTTGCATGTTTACATATGTGTACATGTTTACACGTGTTTACTGTGTGCTACAATAACCATGTGTGCAGGTGTCCAAACATGTATGTACATGAGTATGGAGGCCAGAGGTGGGTGGTCTTTATCTATCATGCTCCAATTTTGTTTATTTTAAAGACAGAGTCTCTCACTGAACTTGAAACTTGCTGACTTACTAGTCAGGCTAGCCATGAGATCTGTGGATCTGCTTATCTCCATCCTACAGAGCTGAAGTTACAACCGAGGCTGAACAGCTGGCTTTCCCATGGGTGCTGGGGATCTGAACGTAGGTCTTTATGCTTGCAGGGCAAGCACCTTCCCCATACCCACCAGGGAAGTAAAGCCCCCCACTTTACTTTTCTCCTAAATTTCTATTTCTGTCTAAGTCTGCTGTGTGGAATTTCACTCTGTCATTTTACTGGAGATTGCTACTCTTCATTGATCCTCTCAAAAACCAATAGAGGAGATGTTGGCACAACTCCAGCCCAGGCTTTTAAAGCCTGGAGGCGAACAGCAAATTTCTAGAGAGCACAGGCCATCCACTAAGACAATGGCTGCCTAAAGTAGCAACTGATTCACCAGGGAAAGAATGCAATTATTACTGTCAATGCTGACAGGACAGATAAGTACTGGATGTTCGGGGCTGTCATGCCTGGTAGACTTAAATAAGAGATCTTTCTACTAATCACGACTCAGGACTCCACCCCTCTGTGGTGACACATTCCGTGGAACCAAAATGTTCCTTCTATTGCTTGTTTGATTGCAAGCCGTGAACAAGGAACATAAAAGAAGTAAACCACCAGGATGGGTGTCACTTCTGGAGATCCACTCAGGAGAGATATTTGTAAGAAAGTCAGCTCTGCACTGAGCTGAACTCTCAGGAGAAGAGTTTGCCACAACCTTCTCTTCCCTGCTCAGTGAAGAAAACATTCAGCAATGAGATGGGCAATTGTCCATGCTGACAGGCCTCAATTGCAGGGTAGAAATGGGATAGGTTGCCCTGAGTCCATCTCTCCAACACAAGGGCCCCAGGGAACATTGTGATGGGAAGCCTTTGGGGAACACTTTGGGGAATGTGTTTTGGGATTCTTGATCATTTTGGGAACAGAGCAAGAGACCGAACCCGGACCTTGCCTCTACTGCTGAGCTATATCCCCACCACTGATGAGTTAACCCCCCCTCCCCCGAAGACAGGATTTCTTTGTGGCTTTGGAGGCTGTCATAGAACACGCTCTGTAGACCAGGCTGGCCTCGAACTCACAGACATCCACTGCCTCTGCCTCCCAGGTGCTGGGATCAAAGGTGTGCGCCATCAATGCCTGGCTGATCAGTTAATTTTTTAACTGTCCACATATATAAATTATGCCACACCACTCGTCTTCCCTTTGTAGGAGAGTCCTGATATAGAACAAGAGGTAGACAACATCTCTAAAAGCTGGGAAAGGTGGCTGATTTATTTATTTATTTATTGAGACAGGGTCTCTATGTATCCTGGCTGTCTTGGAACTTGATATATAGACTAGGCTGGCCTGATCTCAGAGATCCTCCTACCTCTGCCTCCTGAGTGCTGGGACTAAAGGAATCCACTACAATTTGCTAAATTTGCCTGAATTTTAAGGAATATTTCTGGGTGACTTAGGTCAGAAGAAGTCCACCAGCACTGACAAATATTCTATCATACTCTTTACCATACTCTTTAGCATGATGACTGCTAAGAATAACTTCAACTAATCAAATTGGCTTTGATCTACCATGGTCCCTGATGTGTTAAAAATGTGTCTTGACCAATTATTTAAATCATAAAGTAGGAGAAAATGTGTGATAGGGGGTACTCAAAGCCAGATGGGACCTTTATGTTGACCAGATACTTACCGTGGGTCAGCCACTCCCACTGTGTGCCTTCTCATTGACAAATAACGAACCAAGGCTTCAGGAGAAGGCTCTTCACCCTCATCGCTATCCAAGTTCACTGTCCCATCAGGCTGAGGTGGAGGGAAACACAACTGATCAGAAATAAAAATTAACTAGAAATAAGGAAGGGAAGGAATTGTGGTTATGGGAAGAAAAGTGGTTTCAACTGACAGTGATCAGATGTGGCTACTTGCCTCTATAATTTGGTTCTCTGGGTTGATTAGCTGAACTTGGGGGACACTAATGTTCATAGCAGTTCCTGTCTGCTCCGTCTGAAAAGCAGTACATATGGATAAACAAATACTTGAGACACTAGAAGAAATAACAGCTTTTCAAATTAGTCTCTCCCGTGGCCCCTGCTTCTAAGATAAAGCTTTACGGTGTAGTCTAGGCTAGATTTGAACTCATCATTCTTCTGCCTCGAATTCCCAAGGGCTAGGGCTATGTTCAAAGCAGTCTTGATTGCTACCCATACCTGGTATAACTTGTTCTCACCTAGGTCACTGGAGACATTGCCCACCTGGATATTGACTGGTGCTTGAAATGTCATGGCTCTAGGCATGCCAGGAAGAGCTCCGAGGCGCAGAGTTTTATGTCTCTTGTGTCGATCGCACAACAGGCTGTAGATTGCACTATAGTGATCATAGGCATCCGATCTTAATGACTACCAAAGGGAAGGGGAAAGAGTGAAAACCCCAGTGAGATGTCACATCAGTGACCAGACACCCCAACAACATCAGCAGAATCCAGAGCAGTTTCTTTCTTCCATCCCAGACCCAGGAAGGACAAAGGAAGAGGAGAATGGATGAAAGCAGAAAGACCCAAGTGCTCAGGAAGGAGACAACCCAGGGAAGGCGAGCAAGAGGAAAGGCTGCTTGTCTTATTTGCTCTCCACTCCTTCCTAGGTACCTGAAGTGTCCGCTCCTTGTCCAGTCCCATGTCTTCCATGGCCAAGAGGACATCATCATTGAGGGGATCTGTCTCTCTTTCTTCCTTCAGTTGCTGGCATTCAGCTATTAACTGTATCAGGGAAAGATGCAAGCTGTCAAGTCCCCAGTTAACTACATCAACGTGGCTTGAGATACATATTGACCAAGCTGTCTTGTGCCCCCTGCTAAGGATCCTCTGGGTCTCATACAAAAATCTAAGCAAGACAGCTATGGCAATCAGCTATGAGCTGACAAGAACCTCCCGTTTCCTGAGCTCCTGGGGTATGTGGAATGATCATAACTGGAAGCAGCAGTATGTTACAGAAGCTGTTGAAATGAGCGTACTCAGACAAGAGAGGCATTCCAGTAGCAGGAACTGGGGCTGTACTGTCTCAGAAGTCAAAAGCAAACCACGATTTAGGGACAAATGGGAAGGAACCAGTGCCACTAGTCTCCACAGCCCAGCTGGCTCTTGCAGCTCCTTGCTGAATTCATATACCACTTCAGTTTTACACAGCGGTTGGTTCCTAGTGCTCATCTCTTCAGGTCTTGGGCAGATTAAGTTTGCTGAAGCAAGGGGCCCAGCTCACCCTGTCAAAATTGGGATCCGCATCCCCCAGCTTCATCCACTTGTGCCTGCAGATCTGCTCCATTGAAAGGCGCTTGTTCGGATCTAACACCAGCATGTGGCGGATCAAGTGCTCGCATTCTGCAACAGACAAAAAGCCTGCCTTCAGTCTCCTGGGGGGAGGGGGACTGGTGGGGCTGAGGAGCTAGAAGCAAGAGCAGCAGGCAGATTCTCAGGTTCTCTGCTTCTAGTTATACTTTTCTTCTGTCCTGATCCTTACCTACTTCATTGCTTACTCCAGAAGGAAATGGATAAAGCATGGGTAAAGAGAGAGATGGAGAAGAAAAAGAAATTCAAGTGGAGCAGTCTGGTCAATGCCTCCACTAACCCTGATGGGAAAAATATGGGGCTAATGCATGAACCCTACTTACAATGTATGCTTCCCTTTAATAGACTGAAGAATAGAATGTCCTCTATAGAGATTCAATGTCTTAGAAGTTCTCCAGTTGGTCAGCTCTAGCCTCCTACACATATTATCATGTATATATTAATAACTTTGGGTTAGGTGTGCAATGTGACTCTTCAAAAATCAGGAGACATGCAAAGAATAGTATCTAATTTGTATTAAGCATCATTTTAGCTCTACTTATTAAATTCTGGTGAATCTACATTTGCTTTGTATTCCATGTTATTTCCAGAGGACTTATAAAACTCAAATGTTTCTTAATACATTCTCTGTCTCTTTTGCTCATTTAACTTTTAGCCACATCCATCTACTCCATATCTCTGGAAATTTATATTAAAGAAATCTTGAATCACCCTTGGGAAAAAAAAAGTCAGGGTATCTGGAGTTTCTCATGGCACAGGGGACATAGAGAGGGGGACATAGAAAGGGGGACATGCATAGGCCACCTCTGTTGCAAACTGTCACATGGCTAGCCTTATATAGAACTTTCTTGATGTGAATTACGCACTACAGCAACATAAAGTGGAGTTTACAGAGATTCAGCCAGTGGGTGTTTCTCTCTGGGGACTCATACTCCAGGTTATATTGGAGAGGAAACAAAGGGTTCAAAATCAGAAACCTATATTCTGATTTCAAAGCCACCCACTTTAAGACGTTTCTCATCTGTAAACTGGAAGCTCTGGTGACAACGTGGGAGCAGCAGTATGGGGAAGGTGGCGGGCACTGATAAGGCCAGGGTATTCATGTATTCTTTACAGCACTTTACAATCATTATCTCAGCCTCGCCATAATCCTCAGAGCTGTGTGCTATCATCCTTTCCACTTGGGAAATGGCCCAGATTAAGCAGAGTCCACAGTCACATGGTTTTCAAGTCAGATTCAAACCAATAGTCTGGCTGTCCATCTGCATGTGTGCATGTGTGTTCGGGTATGCTTGCCTATGTGAGCAGAGGGTAACACTAGGATGTTTTCCTCAATTGTTTCCACTTTATTTTTTGAGACAGGGTCTCTCATAAACCCGAACAACACCAATTCAGCCACAGTAGCCGGCCAGTGGACTCCTGAGATCTTCACATCTCCACCCTCAGTGTTGGGGTTACAGATGTGTAGCACCATGCTCACTTTTATGTAGTTGCTAGGGATCTAAATTAAGGTCTAATGCTTGCACAACAAGCACTTTACCCAATGAATCATCTCCCCAGCTCTTTACCTGGTGCCCTTAAACCACAACTGCTATGTTGTCTCAATCCATTTACCTGAACCACCACTAGTCCTTCACCCACGCCATTATTGCTTTCTTAGACAGTCAGAAAAGGTTCCTAAGTGGTCACTCTGCTTCTGTTCTTCCTTCAGTTATAGTCTACTCTCCACTGGGATGATTTTAAAGCCAAGGCAAGACCGGTACCACCTTAGTAACTCTAGAATTTCTTCCCATGATCCCCAGAATGGATACCCACAGTCCTGGGCCTCCAAGACTCGCATCTGATTTCCCATGTATGCAGCTCTCTCTATTGTCTAGCCTCCATGCTTGCTCCTCCTTAGGTGAAGAGACACTCCCCAGGCCTTCTCATGGCACTCCCTTGCTGTCACTCCCTCAGAAACTCTTCCCTGACCTCTGACACAGGCTCAGTTGCACTTTCCTTTACGTAAATGATTTAAGGGCTCATCTTGTTCATATTTGTTTCCTGTCTCTGTCACAATGCAAGGCAGGGGTCTTTTCTACTGCCACATGCAATATGGAATCTCCAGCACCAAAAGTGATTGTTATTATCTAACAGGAGCTGAATATCTACTGAATATATGAATAAACATTTATTGAATAGTCACCTTAGTCAGACAAGACTTTATCCTAAAAATGCTTTTATATCTCATTTACTCTTCACAACAACCCTAAGTTAGGTACTATAAAGAATCCCATTTATAAATGACAAAATGAGATTTTGAAAAGTTAATGCATTCAACTACCACAAGGCTATGTTCCTGACTATCCTTAATGCATCTACAGGTGGATATAAATTCTATTCCATCCATTTTTCCAGAACAAATTCAACTCTGCAATTTCTATAGCATTTTTGGTATCATCATTGTCATGAAAGATATACTAAAAGTAATTTAAAAGAATTACTCTTAAGCTGGGTGTTGGTGGCGCATGCTTTTAATCCCAGCACTCAGGAGGCAGAGGCAGGCAGATCTCTGTGAGTTCGAGGCCAGCCGTGTCTCCAGAGTTAGTGCCGGGATAGGCTCCGAAGCTATACAGAGAAACCCTGTCTCGAAAAACCAAAAAAAAAAAAAATTACTCTTAATTTTTAATGTATTATGACTTCAAAAATCCAATAAAGATGTTAAATAAAAATATCACTTTGTTTTTGCTTTATGAGCAAAGGTATATTCAAATGCAGTTCAAATCGGAAATACTATAGTCTCTACATTCTAAAATTATGTCCAGAGTAGCAAGGCTAGGCCCTAGAATGTAGCATCCATGACATAAGTTTATGGTCTGCAATCATTTAAGAGAAGAAAAAGCTGTTCTTAATTCACCAAGTTGCTTTAAGCTAAAGAGCTCAGTGCAGGGAGGCAAAGGCATGCCTTGGAAGGTGTGGTTGTTGCTCAAGCCTCTAGATGGCAGTCTACGATCTTCCTTTGGTCTTCCACACAAAATTTAGTGCATGACATCAGGGGACCAAGGCCAAATAATGTTTATAACAGGTTTGCTTTTCAAACAGAGACTTCCTTTTCTAGGCAATTTCCTTAAACAACATCAAACCAAAACAAAGCCTGTCATGAGTCCCAATGCAAACCTCAATTCCAGGATTTTGAAACTTCTGTTTCGTCATCCTTAACCTTACTTATTCTAAGAGACCATGAAGATTCTCCAGAAAAACACACACACACACACACACACACACACACAAAATTTTATGTACATAAACTTGCATAAATTTTTGATTGTTCAAGGAGCCAAAAAATGTTTGCATAGATTCCCAAGATGTCTCCAGGTCTCAGATTAGGGACCACCGTGGCTTCGTGTCAATGGCACAAGGGCAAGCGCACAGCTCCTGTCTGTTACATGGAACAGACACTGGCAGAGGATCAGAAGCCTAACATTTTTCGTCTGTTGCAGAGGGTGAAACATGGCCGAAGTCAGCATCAAGCCACATTTTCTCAGTGTCATATAACTCATGAAATTGAATTCAGATGAGATGTGAACACACTATTCTACATAAACTATGGAGAGAGGGCGAAATGAAGGCAATGGATGTTCCGGAATCAAAAACTACAACCACAGGACACTCAAATGAGCAGCAGGAGAATGAACTGGAGCACAGGGTGAGCCATCAGCCCTTCAAGATACCAGCAAGTGCTCTACTGTGCAAGGTGGCTCATCACTTGTCCCTCCCAGAGGGCACAGCCTTTGCTGCTGAGACCCAGGCACTGGGGGACATAGTAGTAGAGCTGCTCTACTGCTCACACTAGAGAAGTGGCACCCCAACCCCTGCCGAGAATGCTCTTGTCTGCTCCACACACAATTCTAAGTTGTCTCTTCAGCAAAATCCCCGAGGGTCTGTGAAACTCAATCCTCCCATGGAATGTTAACTAGAGAGTGCACAGTTCGGTACTGGCAGTGCCAACAGACATTTGGATGACTGAGGAATGGCCCTCAAACCAGAACGGAGGCTGTCTGTAACTTTATCTGAGATGGTAACAAACATCTTTATCTTGAGAACTTTCAAGGAGGCTTAAGAGAGATACCAAACAAGAGATTATGTGAGTAAAAAAGCCCTCTATATTCATTAAGGACAAAATTCATTGAAGATTCATCTAATTTCCATGATAGAAGAATAAATGAAATAATTTAAGAATTTATGAGGCTTATTTACCATGGAGAAAGGCAGACATGGGCAGGAAGGGACATTCTGGGCTGTTGTTTAAGTATCTGAGGGACGTTCCACAGACAAGGCTGGGGACAGATTTTGCTGTACAACAATCTGAATGAGGAGCAATTAAGTGATAATCCAATGCAGGAAGGGTTTCCAGCTGTATAGACAGGTGATCTAAGCAGGCACTTAAGAAGTGGGTGGTACAGTGCAGGCAAGGCCACGCCAAGGTCACAGCTACTTTTACTCATTTTACAGATCACTAATTCTGAGTAACAAGGGGACACATTTGACGTCAGTCCAGGCTATGTAGACAGTTCTGGGAGTTCTAGGACAAACTAGGCTACAGAGTGAGACTGTCTCAAAACAAACTAACAAAAATCCAAAATAAACAAAAATGAAAATAGCAAACACCTAAAAAGTCACAACAGAATAGTAACCCCCATGCTTCAAGCTAGAATGGCTAGAAAAACATCATTTTACTAAAGATTTTGGTGTGCTGTGCAGGGTCAAAACAGGAAAGAAGGGAATGAAAAGTCAACAGGGTGATTCATTTAGAAATATTATCTGACAATATTAGCATATATACGATAGGCAAAGTAGTAAATTTCGTAGGCACTCAGCCTGAACTCCAACACCTAATGCTATGATCTCTATTTTATAAGAAGTTGAAAATCAGAGAAATTAAGAAGCTTGACCAAATAATAAAAGGGAAAGTCTTCATTTTTGTTGTTGTTTTGTCTTTTAGGTAAGTCAGACCCAGGCTAATCTTGAACTCATGATCCTCCTGCCTTAATTCC